CTCAAATTTTAGATGACATACGACAAGCCAATAATGAGATCATTGTTGTGGTGATCTCAGAAGTTAATCTAGTGGAGAATAGTTCAGAATGGGTAGTTGACACTGGAGCTTCGAAGCATTTCTGCGCAAGGAAGGAGTTGTTCACCGAGTTCGAGGATGGGAACACTGGTGAACGTGTGTACATGGGGAACTCTAGCAGATCTGAAGTGCTAGGCAAAGGCAAGGTTTTACTCAAGCTGACTTCTGGTAAAACTTTGGCTTTAAATATGTTATGTATGTACCTACCTTGCGTAGAAATTTGATAAGTGGTGGGCTTCTGAATAAGGCATGCATTAAGTTAGTTTTTGAGGCAGATAAACTTGTACTTTCCCGAAATGGTGATTATGTGGGGAAAGGGTTTTTAAGCAATGGTTTATTTGTCATAGAAACTCAATTTAATGAAAATAAAGATACACTTCTGCTTATATTGTTGAATCCATTGATATGTGGCATGCTAGATTAGGACATGTGAATATTTATGCTTTAAAGAAATTAATGAATATGAATGTTCTGCCTAAACTAGACACAACTAGCTTTAACAAATGTGAGATTTGTGTAGAAGCTAAGCATACTAGACCTCACTTTAAGACTGTTTCTGATAGAAATACTGAGCTGTTAGAACTCATTCATACTGATCTAGCAGATTTTAGAAACACTAAAAGTAAAGGAGGAAAACACTACTACATAACTTTTGTAGATGATTATTCAAGATATACAAAAGTTTATCTCCTAAGAACTAAAGATGAAGCTGAAAACTTCTTTTTTATTTATAAGGTAGAAGTAGAAAATCAGTTCGATAGGAGAATTAAAAGTGTTAGATCTGATAGAGGTGGTGATATGGATCTAATTTCTTAAAAGATATTTGTGAAAAGAATGACATAATTCATGAAACTTTAGCCCCCTATTTTCCTCAACAGAATGGTATAGCCGAAAGGAAAATAGAACTTTAAAAGAGATGATGAATTCTTTACTAATAAGTTCAGGGTTATCTGATAACAAGTGGGGGGAAGCCATTCTATCGGCAACTCATATCTTGAACCGAGTTCCTCATAAGAAATTAGATTCTACCCCATATGAATTGTGGAAAGGATACGCTCCTAATTTACAATACCTGAAAGTGTGGGGGTGTCGGGCCAAAGTGGGTTTGCCAGACTTTAAGAAGTCCACCATCGGACCTAAAACTATTTATGCAGTGTTTATAGGGTATGCTACGAATAGTGTTGCATACATATTCATGCTTTTACAAGATTATTCTATTTGTGAGTTAAGGGATGCTGTTTTTTTTAAAATAATTTTCCTTTAAAGGAACCGAGAATGAATATTGAAACACAAATAGAATATATTCCATCCACTTCTTCTAGTAATCCTGCTAGGTCTTCTGAACAAATTGATTTCGAGCCTAGAAGAAGTAAAAGGCAAAGAGTTGAAACCTCTTTTGGACCAGACTTTATTACTTCCTTTATTTCTGAGATAAATGATTTAGACTCCATTTCAGATCATATAGCTCAAATTTTTCTGTTAGATAAGGATCCTAAAACTTTTGAATAAGCTATAAGATCTATCGATGCTAGTTTTTGGAAAAGCGTGTTAGTGATGAACTAGAATCGATAATGTCTAATCATACTTGGGAATTAGTTGACTTTCCTAAGGGATTCAAACCAATCTCTAACAAATGGGTCTTCCGGAAGAAACTAAGGCCAGATGGTTTAATTCAGCGGTAGAAGGCAAGGTTAGTCGTCAAAGGGTTCACTCAAAGGTTTGGTTTAGACTACTTTGATACATATTCTCCCGTTACAAAAATCTCAATGATTCGTGCATTATTTGCACTGGCCTCTATTCATAAGTTGCAGGTACATCAAATGGATGTTAAGACTGCTTTCTTGAATGGAGATCTAGTTGAGGAGATTTACATGGAGCAGCACTAGGTTTGAAGCACCTGATATGGAAGGCAAAGTTTGTAGATTCAAAAAGTCACTCTATGGACTTAAGCAGGCTCCTAAACAGTGGTATGAAAAATTTCATAAAACCATTCTTAGTTTTGGTTTTGTTGTGAATGGTTCGGATACTTGTGTGTATTCGAAGATGTTTAACACTGAATGTGTTATCATAAGTCTTTATGTATGTTGATTTTCAGTTCTAACATTGAGTCCATTCACAAAGTTAAAAATTTCTTGTCCACTAAGTTTGAGATGACAAATTTAGGAGAAGTATATGTAATCTTAGGAGTCAAAGTTACAAAAACTGAGAAGGGATTTTCTTTATGTCAAGCACATTATATAGAGAAAGTGCTAAAGAAATTTGACAGTTTTGATGTCGTCCCTGTTCGAACTCCTTATGACCCTAGCATACATCTAGTTCAGAATAAAGGAAGTAGTGTTTCCCAAACTGAATATGCTAAGTTAATCGGAAGCTTAATGTTCTTAATGAACTATACTCGACCTGATATTGCTTATGCTGTGAGTAGACTGAGTAGATATACTCATAATCTGAGTGGTGAGAACTGGATTGCTCTTAAACGCTTACTGAAGTATCTTAAGGGTACTTTGGATTGGAAACTTGAGTTTGTTGGCTTTCCTGCGGTACTGGAAGGATATTGTGATGCCAACTGGGTTTCTGATAATGATGAGGTAAGCTCTACGAGCGGGTATGTTTTTACTTTGGGTGGAGCAGCAATCTCATGGAAATCATCAAAGCAGACTTGTATGTTCGTTCTACTATGGAGTCAGAGTTTATAGCTCTTGACCTACCTGGGCAAGAAGCCGAGTGGCTCAGAAGTTTGTTAGCAGATATTCCGTTGTGGGGAAGACCGACTCCTCCAGTTTCATTATTGTGTGATTCACAAGCTGCGATATGTGTGGCTAAGAACCAAGCTTACAATGGTAAGAAAAGACACATTCGTATAAGACATGATTGAGTGAGACACTTAATAAAGAATGGAGTGCTCTCTTTAGAGTATGTGAAGTCGGAAAGGAACTTAGCAGATCCACTTACCAAAGGGTTAAGTCGGAAGCTGATCCTAGATTCGTCAAGGGGGATGGGTCTAAAGCCCATTGATTGAGGAATTCATGGTGGATACCCAACTTAGTTATCTAAGTTCCATGTGGTCAAACGAAACCATGGAAAGACTCATAGTGCACATTCCTACTGCCTATCCCTATGATGAATAATATGCATGCCCAAGATGAGCTTAATTGTTCTTAATAAATTCATAGCCCAGGCTTTGGGTGGTCTTAATGAGAAAGACTTGATGAATTTACCGATTTTGGCTGAATATCTATTCTTAATAAGTTCATAACCCAAAGTGAGTGGGTAGGAAATGATGAACTTACCTACAGAAAGGTTGAGTTTGTTAAACTCTTAATAAATTCAAATCCAAGTATTTGGATGGTTCTAGTGAGAATGACTTATTGAATTTACCGATAAATGAGGTTGAATATTTATTCTTAATGACTTCTTAGCCCAGAGTTTGGGTGGTTCATTAATAATGAATTTGAAGAAAGTCACCATACCCTTTGTGAGGTTGAGCTATTATAAAAGCTCTTAATTATTTCATATCCCTTTTTAAAGGGTGGTTTATGTTGAGATAAACTTGATGAAATAACCTATGTAAGTGAGAAGGGTTAGCCGCCGTCTATGAAAAATGTTGGGCCATTTTTCTAGCACACTTACTAGAATCTTGAGGTAAGATGGCCAAATATATACTTTGTATATATATATCTTACACATCGAGGACTCAGGTGGATGAAGGGGTTAGTTGTGTGTTATGAGTTTACCCTGATCTTAGAAAGTTCCAGACTAGTTTCACTTATCTAAGAGAATGATTGCTCATCATCACTATGTACTAGTTCAGATACGTTCACTAGTGCTTAAGCAACTAATCTCGCTATTGCTCTTCTGGAAAGTTTGTTTTCGAGTTTTAGAAGATTTCTTTCGCATTAGTGGGGGAATGTTAGTAATGCTCAATCCCACATAGTATTGGAAACACTATTGGGAATGGTATTTAAGGTTTGGCTTTCCCACTTCCTTGTTGAGTGATAGAGAACAAGGGGGACTCTCGCGCACCGCCGCCGCCGTCGTCTGTCTCGTCTTGGCTCAGCTCGGCACGGCTCGGCTCGGATCGTGGTCCTGCTCATGCTCGTGCTCGTGGTCGTGGTAATAGTGTCTTCGACACGTCCGCGCGGATACTATCTTTTTAGAGAAAATTCTTGAGGAATTTCTCTTTGAAAAAAACAAATGGAAAATGTAAAAGATTTCAACTGATATTTATAGGCTGTTGAGGACTGTTTAAATTTCAAATGATAACAGATGATTTATGAGTTATCAGAAATTAAACAGTTTTTTTCTAAATTAAATCAAAAACGTTAAGATGTATCTGGACTGATTTCCGGCTTTGTACAGAGGAGACAAGTTGTTAATACCAGGAGTTACAGGAGTTATTTGATTTAATTCCAGGGGTTACATGATATAATTTCAGGAGTTATAACAGCTGAATAATGATGCAATGAACCTGGACTATTTTTGAGTCAGATTCATCTAGACGTTTCAGTTGTTACAAAAGAAGAGATTTAATCCTGAAATTTTATGGACGATATTAACCCTATTTCTAGCCTATAAATAGAGAGCTATATTCAACTTCTCAACTCACTCAAACATTCACAATTCACTTACAAAAGTGTTTTCTACAGTTCTCTATGTGAGTTCTCTCTGAGTGCTTTCCAATCAGAAGAGCAATACCACCAGCAGTCCACTCCGGTTTCGGGTGTACGGAATTCGGAGCGACCGTGTTAACCTCGGGGACGGTCCGCCTACTGCAGCGATTACACACATCGGGGCGAATTCGTTTCTAAGGCAGTGGTTTTGCCACGACACAGTTTACGAATTTGTTCCTTTTAATTATTGTTTATATTTTCAGTCAGTGCTAACGGTGTAGTTTTGCGGTTCATATATCCAACACAAGGTACCCCTTGTGCCCCTTAGTGTAGTGAAAACATGGCTTTGCTCTCGAGTCATTAGTTTTGCCAAGCCGAAATCGGAGACTTTGGCAAGGAAATTGTCATCGAGTAATATGTTTTCGGGCTTTATGTCGCAATGCACGATCTTTGCATCACAATCTTCGTGGAGATAAGCTAGCCCTTTAGCGGTTCCCACTGCGATATTGATCCTTGTTCCCCGATCCAGCAACGGTTCTCCATTTCTACCGAAGATCCATTTATCTAAGGAACCGTTCGCCATGTACTCGTAAACAAGAACCCGATAGCTTCCTTCCGCACAGAAGCCTTTCAACCGAATCAGGTGAAGATGATGGATGCTTCCAATAATACCTACTTCAGCTCGAAATTCTTTTGTCCCCTGACCGATGCCTTCCAATTTCTTCACAGCAAGTTGAGTCCCATCTGGAAGAGTTCCTCGGTAAACAGAACCGAATCCTCCCTGTCCAAGCTTCATCGAGAAGTTATTTGTAGCAATCTGAAGGTCGTTATAAGTGAACCGAGTAGGCATTCCGGCGAGACTTTCCAAGAAAGTATCCTCTTCTGAAGTCTCACCAGGAGATTCAAGCATTGTTTTCTTTCTCTTGTAGCATCTCAATGACACAAAAAGTAGGCCAAAAATGAAAATTAATGCAGGAATCACTATAATCACAACATATGGGAAGCCTCTTTTCCCTCTTCTATCCCCTCCACCGATTTCGGACATTTTAACAAAAGCAACCAAATCAGACTTGTTTTTAGAGCTTCGGAAGCTACCAACATCGTCAAAAATGAAACAATTCCTCAAGTTATTGTCGTAAAACACAGCCACACAGTGGCAATTACTAAGACGAGATGCTTTGCAACCATTTAGATCGGTTTTCGACGAAGGAGGAACGTAGCCAAGCGCGAAATAATCGAGCCCGGTTCCAGCATCTACAAGACCTACAGCATCCTTCCCATTACCACAGCGAGAGGCAACACCAGTTTTGCAAGCGCTCGAACCAAGCCCCAATGGACACTGGCATTTAGTATTTCCTGCTAAAGAACCCGAGCAAACAAAATACGGCATACAAGCTTCGGGTGTCCCACACGGATCACTGGGAACTTTTTTTGTCGAAGAAGACTCTCCGGAATTTAGATTGAAAAGAGATATAAACCCATCACTTCCCAACACCGCAATCCAAGTGTCAGTCACATTTACATCAATAGAATCTGATATCCTGAACTCCCATAGCAACACTTTGTTCTCATCAAAGAACTTCCATGAATTCTCATAAATGGAAGCTAAAGTCACCACCCCACCACTTTTGTCAATGTTCCTTCGAGCATCCTTTCCCATCGACCAATATGGCTGCGGATTCGAGTAACCTGCGGAAAGAACCATGTCACCTTGCTTGATTTCGAGGATGTAAGTCAAGTTACTAGGACTAAGATTGCTTATAAGCCTCATCCCTTGTTTGAACTCTTGGTTCGAAACAAGAGTATCCAAAGGATGAGCAAAGCTCTCCCAAATTACTTTGTCATCATTCCTTTGCAAAACCAAATTCCCTGAATCCATCAATACCATAGCAGAAACACCTTGGTCACCGGTATCTGTCGTCCAGACAACAGTTTGTCCTTTCTGTAACAACACGTCGCCATTGTTTTGAAACACAAACATATCTGAATTTGAAACAGGGAAGTCTCTGTTAGCTGCCCAAATTACCTTTGTAGTCGTAATATGCATGATGACTAGTAAAAACCTTGTGACATCGGAGGTAGTGGCAAGCCAAAACCAAACTCTGAGCTGTTTGATACGAGGAACAAACCATTATTGTCGATCCAATTCATCTGAGAAACTTGAAAACCAGGTTCAATAGATCCAATGATCCGATCGTTAGCCATAGAGATATCAAAGAAAACAAGGGTAAGTACAAAATAGACCAGGAAATCAATAAAACCCTTGCTTTCCATTAGAATATTCATAATCGAGCGAAACCAAGTAAGATATAAGGAAAGAAAATCTGGGTTTCCTAAGCAAATTCTGTGCCTTGAACACAAAAAATTGGCTCTAAAGGAAGCAGATTACAAGGCAATATTTAAGGGAACTAAGAGCTTAAAATTCAAGGAAAAACTTGTCTATGAAATGATCAAAAGAAAAGGGACAAGATCAGATAAGGCAAGGGCAAATTGACAACTGATGGGTAGTTCTTATTTGACCATGAAATCAGCGATGAAACACGGGAAAGAAGTGGAAAAAGATGCAAATTTTCAGAAGTGTTGGTCAAGTAACATGAGCAATAAATTATGAAGAAGATGGTTTTAAAGGATAACAGTGTGAAGAACAATACGACAGAACCAAGGGGTTAGCTTTGACCTCATTTATTGCAGAAACAAGAGAATTTCCAGATATGGGTGTCTGGGTTTTTCCTAAATCTGAGCTGCCTTTACATCTTTTTCCTTGTTTTAGTATTCTTCCAACATGATAAACAAAGTGGTCCACTTTTTCGTTTGGTTTAGAAACCCACTGAATTGAATACTAGAAATCTGTGGAAAAGGGAAGCCAATATAGTCTTAAGAAATTTCTTACAACAAAGACGAGTTTATTACTCTTACTTACAAGAACAAAAGAATTAATATAAATAATTGTCCTAATTATATCGAAAAATATTTTAATATTTAAAGAATATTTTATTAAAAATAGGCGTGTTTTTCCCTAATTATTTTAAGTGTTCGTACGTTAACACTGTTAAAAATCTCGTTAAACTGTTAAAAATCTTCGTTAAATGACACGTGTCATGTTCTCGTAATTTTAAGAGTTTTTATTTAAAAAGAAAAACTTAAATTTTTTCAAATTAAAAAAAACTCAACACTTTTTATACTTTAATTTTAATCCCTTCGCCACCGTTGGCCATCACCAACGCCGTCAACTGGCCTAACACCCAACGATGAAAACCCCCATACTTTTACAATTGATCAAACACCAAATCTCCATAAATTTATAAATTTCTAAATATAAATCATTTAAAACCCTAAAACGAATTTTCATTTACACTATTTTTGGTGTTGATTAGATGCGAAAGTATGGAGCTTTTAGTCATGCACGTCATCGTGTGTTTGGCAGATTAACAGCATTTGTGGTGGCAGGCGGTGACACCATTATTAGAATTAAAGTTTTAAAAGTTTTAGGTTTTTTTAAGATTTGAAAAAATTAAGTTTTTTTAATTATTTTAAATAAAAATTCTCAAAATTACCAAAACGTGACACGTATCACTTAATAGAATTTTTAACGTAAGTTAACATCTGGGCACTTATAATGATAATAGAGAAAACATTAGACATATATTTTTAGCGAAAAATTCTTTAGTCACTAAAATATTTTTCGATATATAATTTAGACACTTATTTTTGTATTAACCAAAATGATAAATGTGTTGAATAATAAAAGACATGCGACGATGTTTACCCACTCTATTTAAAATTATAAAACTAAAACAAATTGCACTTATACAAAGCCGAAACATTGATGGTTTTGTCCATTTACTCCACTCCTTACCAAAGGAGACGGTAATAAAAATATCAAGTTAAAAGGTTTTGATTTGAATTTTACTTGGTTTAATCTTAAAAATTTATGGTGTAATTCCTTTAATTAAAAATTAACTTGAAAATAAAATTAATAATTTAATGTACATGCAAGAGCTCCAACATCGATAGACTCGAGGTTATAGGATACTATTGATCTCATTGGGATATTGGACGAAATCTTCGTAGTATGATACATTTTCATTTGATTAGGGTTATTGTATTCGTATAATTATATACATCTAACTAGAATGGTTTGATATATTATAATATAATTTATTGTTGATGTATATAATTTTCATTGAAAATAAATGTGTGTATTATTATCTTTGTTTCATTTGGTTTACCGTTTTTTATTTGTTATTACGTGTTAATTATAAATATTAAATATATAATCAGTTTTACAACATAATATTGTTAACAAGAATTATATTAAATTTTACTACAAATATTTTTAATATTACTATTCATTCGATGCACTAAGAATTAAATTTAAAATATTAATTATTATTATATCATGATTAAAAATAATACATCGATTACTGTTTACTAGAGTATTGTTATTATTGGTAGTAGTTTTTGCTCAATTTATTATTATATTATTCATATCTTCAGTGGTTGGATGGGGAAGGGTATGGGCCAGGAAAAAGGCCAATTGGACAATAATTTAATGTAAAATCGGGAACAGAATTGTGGGAAGGCCACTCGTTGTCCCAATAGTCAATGCCATTCAAATTAGTCCTACTAGTCAAGTACCGGACGGATCAAATTTAGATTAATTCGGATTCTAATTATTTTAAATTTATGTGCCATTTACGTTATTTTTTCTTACTTTCTACAAAACTTTCTTAATGAAAATTTTACAGTATCGTACATACATTACAATTATTATTTTTCGACATATTTACTGACCGTTTAAGATATCAATAGATCTGATTAAGTATCTCTTCTCGTTCTATTAATTTAAATCTTATCTAAACACTTTAAATCTCATATAATTCATCCTCAAACTAAAATCCACAAAACCCTAAATCATTATAATGTATAATATTCATCTTCTTATCAACATGAAATCAAGATATATAAAAGAATTGTTGTTGTTTTTTGAGGTTTCAGATTCGAGCACCATGAATATCAGGGTGCAACCATACAATGTGAAATGGTTAAGAGTGTTAAATGGTTGAAAGTATTATTTGAATAAATATTGTCTTGTACTTACCTTGAATTAATCAAAATAAATAAATAAATAAATTCATAAGAAAATATTTCAAAATTTTTGAAACTAGTTTTTTTCACAAAAGATAAATAATTTGAGGTAGTTTCATTATTTCAAAAAAAAATTGTTTAATCATAATGGCGTATTTAACTGAGTAAACCGAAAATTTAGTGAATAAATTGTTTTTTTAATATTGATCAATCAACATTAAGTAGTGAAATTTATAATTTACCAATTCAAATATTAAAAGATGCACTGTCGCTTCCACCTATACCTTTACTGAAAAGCAAAGGGTGGGAAAAACTTTCTATAAAAGCCCAAACCCCCTTCCCTTATTTATTTCCTTAGGTGGGGAACCCCCTAGTCCATGTCATAACTTCAAAAGATGCTTTGAGGTACCAAAATTCACATAGATGCAGCAAATATCAGCGGGTCAATTTTAGTGTGATGCCAAGAACCTCCATATATACCTTTGAAAAGTCTCTCCCTAAACACAATATTTACGTAATCACAATGGCTAAGTATTCTCCCACCACAATCAAGGTTACAACTTTGGAATCTTTTAACCAAGGTTCCAGATTCGAGTCTCGTGGGTGGAAAAATAACTCGACTCGACTTTTGATATAATCATAATCAAAACCAGAAATTCAAAAAAAAAAATTACAAACAAAGAAAAGTCCCCCGCTCCCACTCCCACATAAGACACCCTCAAGCATATTGACTCTTAAGATTTTTCTAAAGCGACCTTTGTCTCCTACTCATACAAACAAATACAGTTTTTCTTTAGATTTTTTCATTTAATAATCAATAGCTTTAGCCCTACTTCTTAATCCAAATCCAACCAACCAGACAAGTTGTCCACCGAAAGGACAATACAAAACCACTTTCCCCACATGGATAATGTATTAACGTAGTGTTAAAAATCTAAGTGTCACAACTACAACTAAGGAGAACTTCGAACAAATAGCCTATGACTAAGATGTCTAAATAACAGCTCTAAAGCATATCCATATATTCCTATGCTTTTCCACTTCGCGGTTTTTGAGTGTCGGCCAACATGGGATGATTCACTTGGTCGAATAGTCATTACCGGTCTTACAGGTACCAAGGTCTGAGTTTCACCAACAGCCAGCATGTAAGTCAAAAGGATTAGCTCATCTAATTGAAACTTCACTCAAAATATTTACACCTTACATTCTTGCAAACATTTCAACACACTGATCATCGACACAGAACTATTAACTACGAAAAAGATTGCGAGAAGAGGAGAGTTTTTTTTAGCAGCACAAATACTCACAAAGGCCATGTTAAGGGTCTTTAAGTCTAGGGCTGTATGGAAGCTTCGATGGCAAATGAAATTGTTGATCCGCTGTCAGACCATATATCAGCTTTCGCTTTCTACTTGTTGCATCTTCGTTCGAGCGTTCACCTTCAATGCTCCATTCGTTTGAAGATGAGTTCAAGGGATCATCTCCTTTGCTCCTAAGAAAGGAAGAGAAACTTTTGTCGCTGAACTTGTTTGACTCCGGAAAGGTGGAATCGTTTTTTCTTATTTCTAGAGGTTGACCATTTCGAACACTCAAGCAAGGTGTTGAAAAAGGGCCCAACCGCAAAGATAGATCACAGGCAAGTTCATGTGGATTCTTGGAAGCATTTGCTACATTTGTTTGGTTCATCTTATTCGAAGAGTCCACATCAGAAAACAGTAGGTTATGAATGTAACCCGTCTTAGTAGGCGCTACTGAATTAGAAATTAGCTTCGGGGAGACTCCGAGATTATGCTGCGGCTCCTCAAATCGACAGTGGTTTCCGTAGAATAGAGGAAAAACTGAATACAAATTAGGAGGATACTTCTCTATAGGTAAGCATGGATTGTTACTAGGAAGGGAACCATTCTCATATGCAAAAAGAAACTTGTTATGGGTGCCATTAAAACGAGTCACATTCATTGTTGTCGGTTTCATGTAGCCGGAATAACCAGCCATGCAATGCGAGATCGCTGTGACATTTCCTCGAGCAACGGTGTCGGCTTCTCGAGGTCCCGGATTAAGGTAACACCTCAAGTTACAATTTCGTTCGCTCCTCAAGGTTCTTCTGGGTGTGCAGCCCAAATGCAGAGCAGCTAACCAACAACAAAGTATAATCAAGCAACACATTCATCTTAATTAAACCAGAATCAAGCCACAAAAGAACCCCAATTTGCAAACATACACATTTGGCTTCAAATTAAAATAGAGGAACCCATCATGCAAAGCAAAACCAGTACCTTCAATACAAGGTTGAAGAAGGTCTCCAGTTTCAGTACTCTCATCACGCCTAATGATTGTGTTAATGGCATCATTCGTCCGATCCCGCAGAGTCTTAAGGTCCATGTACTCGGCCTATGCAAATATACAAACGCCATAAAAACACAGTGCTCATTGCTCAAGGCTCGTTCTTTTTCATTTTAAAACTAAACACAAGCAAAAAGAAAGAGAACATTTTTACCTCAGAATTAGCTTTGGAATACATTATTTCTTCAGCTTTTAAAACAACAACAGGGCGCTTCTCTTGCCATTCCTTCTTCTTCTTAGTTGCAGAGCTATGAATCTCATTTACAACTCTAGATAAAACAAACCCAAGTACATTAAAAAAAACAACTTTAAACACAAGAAAGAAATGGAGAACTAACCTGAAAATTTCTTGAATGAGGGAACCACGCATGGGTTGGTGCCTATCACTATGCCAAGCTCTTCTCTCACAAACATATGGTCTTGGACCTGGTCTAGGCATCTTCGATGGCGATTCTTGGAAGAAGAAGAAGAAAGCCAAAAGGTTTTTTTTTTCTTGAGTGCTCCTTCAAAGTGAAACAATGGCAAGAGCTGTGTAGAGAAAGTTGTGTGCAGCTTAATGCTTTCTGGGGTTCTCTTTATTCATGAAAACTATGGGACTGATGGACTGACCAAAACAAATGCAGAACCGTACCAACCCCAAAGATATGAGCAGTGGAAAAGGAAAATAAAAATGGGGGACTTTCTTTGTTTTTTATGGATAAAGTACATTAAAGTCACTGAATTATTTCAAATTTTAATCACTAAATTTATTAAATTATTATAAATTAATTATTTAATTTTATTTGAAATTATTGTTAAATTTTATCAAATTATTATAACATAGTCATTAAATTTATTAAACTTTTATATTTTTTAATAATATTATATGATTATTTTGTAATAATTCAATCAATTTAATGATTATTTTAAAATTTTAAAATTTTAGTGGTTAAAAATATCATTTGAGTATAGATCAATGACCTATAATGTACTATACCCTTTTTATTTTAATTCTTCTGTTCATTTTGTCACAAACTCAATAATTTCAAGGCAGGCTTAATTGATGAGTTTGGTCTGTAGCTCCCGACTCAATCCACATGCCTGCTTCCCTAGCCTACACCTTACACAGACACATAAATGTATGATATAATGAAGGATTATCTGCATTCCAAGTCCTCAAACTATGTTCTATACTTTAAATTGATTCTAAACTTTAAAATATTTCAATTGAGTCCGAAAGTACTAGTATTGTCTCATTCTATCCTTTTCACCACTCTTTTTCACATGGATATGTTGGTCTCACTTGGTCATATGCATTAAAAACAACCTCTTGAATTTTAAAAAAAATCAATTTTCGATAATTTTATCATTTAATATAATATTTATGTTATTTCTTAAATAATTAATTACGATATTCATTTTTTAATTCGTTTAGAAAATATTATTTCCCTAAATTTATGGGGTGTAGTAGAAATGTTTTTCACTGTCGGTGGCACCCCAATCTCTTGTATTATACCTATACGTCTCATCCAAGACTTGCCAATCTTTTTCATATTTCAACAGCCCCTCCACACCTACAATGCTGAACCCAAAGTGAACCAAAAGGTGACGTAAGTATATTATCTTATATTAAAAGATAGTTAAATATTTTTCATTGAAATATTTTATATTATTATATTTTAAAATATAATTTTAAATTTAAATTTTCATTAACTTAACATAATTGATGTTAATTGATTTAAATATTTTAATAATATAAATTAATAACTTCTGTTATAGATATATAATTATATAACAAAAAATTAATGAAAAAAATCACAGGTATAAATTCATTATCGTCGTAGACAGAATCGGAATCTTGAAATCGCGGGATTTTTTAGGGCGTTTGTATTTTGGTCATCTAACTTTAAACCTTATAATATAATCATCGAATTTTAGTTCGTTTTCAGTAAGGTCTCTATTGTTACCTCCCGTTAGTCTTAGGGTGTGTTTGTTTGCCGTAATTAGAATTACAAATTGATTTTCCCGAATTCTTGTGTTTATTTCACGTAATTCATTTTTCGGAAAATATTTTCCCGTGTTTGTTTCACGTAATTCGTTTTTCGGAAAATGTTTTCTCGTGTTTGTTTTACGTAATTGATTTTTCGGAATGTAATTCATTTTCCTAGTAACATATATTCCTTTGTGTTTTCTGTAAAATGACTTACGGATTCATTTTCCGTAAGTCATTTTCCGAACTTTTCACTTCAAAGAATAAATACTCAAAATAATTTTATTTTATGAATTTAATATTAATAAAATATTTTAATATCATTTTCATCAAAATAATATTTATTTATTAATATTTATAATAATATAATATTATATTTTTAATATTATATAAAATAATCAATTATATTATAATAATATAAGATATTATATTTTTATTTTAATATATAATAAATTTTTTTATATATTAATAATGAATAATATTATTTATATATTTAAATAATATTTTAATAAATATATTTAAAATATACTAATTAATATTTTTAAAATATAATATAACACTATTACTTTAATAAATAATTAATATATTTATAATATTTTATTTCACTAAAATATAAAAATTAATATTTTTATTAATAAAATTATAAAAATAATATTTAATAATAAATAAATTATTTTAATATTTTAAAATAATTATATTAAGTTTTATGATAAATAATATTATTTATTATATTTAATATTTGTAATAAATAATTTTTAAAAAACTTTTCAACTAGTGGAAAAAAGGTTTAAATAACATCTTCTAAACATCATAAAACGTTTTCCAGATGTTTTTCAGTAAAATGTAATTCATTTTACGAAAAACATTTTCCGGAAAACGTTTTCCAGAAATGTAATTCATTTTCCAGAATTCAAATTCCAGTAATTCATTTTCCAATTCTAATAATTCATTTTCCGGAAAACCAATTACAACCAAACAAACAGACCCTTAGTTGACGTGGCATTTAACTCCCGTTAACCCCCTTCTTCTTATTCTTCTCCTCTCAAACACATAAAAATAACTCTCGTTCACCCCACCTCAAGTCAGCGGTGGCTCACATCGTCATCACCATCGTCATTGGCTTCACCTCCCGACCACACCCCGACCCTCGATTCATGCTCACCATCCACCATTCATCCCAAGTCATAAGAAGACCATTTAAACACACATCCTCAATCTCCGTCGTCAGTCATCAGTGGCCGTCACCACTAGTACCAGCAGGAGTGTTGCCCCATTTCGACCAAAACCTCACTAGCCATTCGTCGAGACTCACCTTCATTCGCCGTGAAGAGGGCTCTGAATATCGTCAGAAAACTCCAATGCCCCTTTTCTGTTTTCATCGATTTTTGTTTGATTGGGTCGCATGTTCGCCACACCGCCACCACCATTGGAGTCCTCACACCATTCCAACCATAACCTAGTCGGTCGTGCCTCCTTGCCATTGTCCCTCCTCTGTCCGTCGTTGGTTAAGAAGAAGGAGAAGAAGAAGAAGAATGTGGTTAACGGGAGATAAGTGCCATGTCAGCTAAAACTAATGGAAGGTAACGACAAAGACCTTACTGAAAACGAACTAAAAGTTCAATGATTGTATTGCAAGTTTCAAAAGTTGGGTGACAAAAATGCAAACGCCCTAAAAAATCAGGGATTATTTATATACTTTATCCTTTAAAAAATTAAAACGTCTAAATAAAGTTACATAAATTAATACTTGATAAATTATTGTATAATATGATTAAAATGAGTGTGCAAATGAATAGGATGTTCGATAAATTGTTCATGAATCATTCGATTCTTAAGTCAAATAAATGAGTATGAATAATAATTTTATGTTCGTTAGTAAACGATGAACACAAACATATGTGTGTCTAGTTCTTTTATGTTTACGAACAAATTCATTTATTGACTCGTTTATAAGTTTATTTATTGACTCATTAATTTATTAATGATATTTCAATTTTTATTTCTAATTTAAACACATTAATCTAAATGTATTTATTTACATCAATATAAATATGTGGTTTTTTCCTATATATCATAATAGTAATGATTGAAATACTTACATTGATGTTAATATGTGTTTATTTCTAGGTATCAAATTTACAATAGTATAAGTACGTATATCTACTACCATCTTGATACAAAAAAATAAATACATAATTCTACTTGTATAAGTATGTACATCTCCTACCATTTAGTGCCTAGAAATAAATACATACTTGCGCTAATATAAATATATACATCTCTCACTATCCCTTTTTGAATATATTTTGATCGTCAATCTATTTAATTTTTAAAAGTTTTATTAATAATGATAATAGATTTTGGGAAAGAAAATGTGGATGGGATTAAAATGGAATTTTATTATTTTCATTAAATATTTTATTATTTTTTTAAATAATAAAATAAGTTTTTTTAAAAAAGTATTAATTTTTTAATAGTGATATCATTTTTATTTTTTTTATATTAAATATATAATTTATATAGAAAATAGTTTCTAAAAGATCTTAGGTTGTTAATTATACTAGCTCCGTTTATGACTATCATTTCGTAATAATACAAGAGATCATTGTATTATATTTGTGTCGAGTTATATTGAATATAAATTTTATCTTAAAAAATATATAAATCGAAGTATTTTATTGAACTTAAATTAAATCAGACTATAAATGAAAATATATTATATTCGACTCAGTATCATTCCTACTTAACACTTGTATGATTATATTTTCTTCAATAATTTATCTGATTATCACCTAACATATAAGAAAGGCATAAAACTTATAAATGTCGCCCTATTCACTTGCATGTGAACCACGTGTAAATACCTTAAATTTCCAATGAAATGCGTTATCTAAGATTAGAGAAATTTAAATTATATTTCCCCCCTTATTTTTATCTTTTCAAAATTCGATTTTTGACTGTAAAATATTCATAAAGGGCAAGTAATCCCATGCCTTTAAATTAGTTTAATTAACATAATTAGTATTAAAAATCATTTCTTTGATTCATTTGGCGCAACAGATTTAGGATTTTCCATTAAAAATGATTTCACTAAAACAAAAAATCCCACTTTCTTCTCACTCTAAAATCTCACACTCTGCTCTTTCTCTCTCTCACCACTCTTTTTTAACTCAACAGAGAAGAAAAAACTAGAAATCATGCTGTCCCCAACACCATTGTCACTGTTATGTGCTTTGATCCTCTGCCTGCCTTTAGCCGTTATTGTCACAATCACTTCTCCGAACACCATCACGACAACCGCCGTCCATGACGGTCCCGAAACCAATCCTGTTCCAGATTTTGTCCCCGCAGCCAAAACCCACCAAAGATTATCCTTTAAACCGCCGCCGTTACCGCCAGAAGATGACAAGTCACTCTTTCGATCGCTTCTCGAGTCAACTCAAGAACGCATCCTGGCTCACCTAAAAAGATTGCGTTTTTATTCCTCACCGTTTCGCCTCTCCCTTTCGCTCCCCTTTGGGAGCTTTATTTTAGCCAAACTCCTAAAAGTCTCTTCAATGTTTATGTCCATGCTGACCCGACTCACCCTTACGAAACGCCGTTTTCGGGAGTGTTCTCTAACCGAGTCATCCATTCGAAACCCGCCCTCCGTTTCACCCCTACTCTCATCTCCGCGGCGCGGCGGTTACTGGCTCACGCGCTACTTCACGATCGTTCGAATTACATGTTTGTCCTTCTATCCGCTTCGTGTATCCCTATTCACTCTTTTAACTTCACTTACCAGACCCTAATCGGGTCCAAGAAGAGCTTCATCGAGATCCTGGACAGCGAGATCGGGAGCTTCGATAGGTGGGCGGCGCGTGGGGAGGATGCGATGTTGCCGGAGGTAAAGCTGGATGATTTCAGGATCGGGTCCCAGTTTTGGTCCCTGACGCGTAAGCACGCGAGGCTCATCGTTGGCGACGAGATAATTTGGGCGAAGTTCAATCAACCGTGTGTGGTGTGGGACAATTGTTACCCGGAGGAAAATTACTTCCCAACCCTAGTCCACATGCGCGATCCAAGTGGCGTGGTGCCAGCGACTTTGACGCACGTGGACTGGAACGGCAGCTCCGATGGTCACCCGCGCATGTACGTGGCGTTGGAGGTGGGGCCCGATTTGATCATGAAACTAAGAATGGATAAGCCTAGATATGGTTATGATGGTATCAAGGGCTCTGATTCATCCACGACACGGCGGCGTGATCCGTTTTTGTTTGCCCGGAAGTTTGCTTCGGATTCGATCCAGCAGTTAATGAGTATAGCGAGTGAGGTCATTTTCTTTGATTAAAGAATGTTTTCTCTCTCTGTGAATGGCTTCTTGTAAATTTCCCTTTGTTTTTCCTACAGCTCTTTTAATTTTTCTAGAAAAAAACAAAGCTGGGGAAAAGGAAACCCAGTGAGTTTGTTGGTGTTCTCTTAATATTCTGTTTGACAATGACTGAAACATGAACAAAGCTTGTCAAAGAGACTTGTGATGAAGATTTGTAGCTTTAGCTATACAGACAAGTTATAAATTTAATCGAATGACACATTATGTTTTTATTTTATAGATTGTAGACATTTCCAGAAAGGATTGAATCATAATAAAATAATTTCATTTTGCGAGAATAATTATCTTTTTCTTGTGCAAAAAGGGTGAAAATCATGAATTAATAAACAAAACAAAATATGAAAATCAATGTTTGATATTGCTTCAAAAACGATATATGACAATCGGAGATAACAAGCTAGTAGTAGTAAGGTAAATTTATACGATATATGTTTGTGTTTATTTGGTGATAGATGGAGCAGTGAGCGTCCAAGAAGCTTTGGGTTTCAACAAGGCAAAGAGCATATACTAGCGATGTGGGACGCTCTTCGATGTTTAATACCTCGAGTGTTACCTCAAGTCACTTTACGGCACGTTGATTGATGATCATGTTGCAGATCTAATCTCTGCAAAATAATCTACAAGAGCTATATTTCAAATAGAATGAATGAGAGCATTTACAAACTGTAGCAAGCTTAAGAGACTTAATTCACAATACCAATTTGTTCGGAAGCTATGGATAAAACCCTAATACATCACGGTTTATAAGACGCAACGGAAAAACAAATCCAGAACTTAACAAAATCTATTAAATAAGCCAATCCTTAAACCACATAAATTATGTCAATTTGGTAAAAGATCCACATAAGAGTGCTGCAAACAGGAATGGAGAAGACATCATCATAAGCCATAATGTAGAGTTTTCCATACCTTGATCGTCGAATAATTCAGTCTTAGACGTCCTTATTTAGGCAAAATGCAGTCGAGCTTTGTATATGAACATCCACTTAAAAAGTAAAAAGCCATCGCCATGAAAGACTTTAATACTCCAGTGCAATTGGCTCCTGTGCAATGTCCGGCGGTTCTTGCTCTCCAAACACTGGTTCTTGGTTAAGGTCGAGCTTACTTTCGCCTGAATCAGTTGTAGGAACTGCCTCATGCGGTTGGATTGGAGATAACTCTTCATTTGTCACATCAGATAATGTCAGATTCTCCTCACTTGATGCTTTAGATGAGGCTATCTTCCCTGCAGTAGTTGCCTTCAATGCAGTTGCCTTTGATGCTTTTTGCCCATTTTTTGCACTGGATAAACTAGTATTCTGAGAAGGCAGTTTGGGAAGGGATTTACGCAGTGGCTTCTTTGCAGGGACATGAGAAATTACTTTCGCAGAGATGCTCTGAGATGCTTTCTCATCTAGACTTAGCCTACCTGATTGGTGACTTCTATTGTCGGTATCATCAGAGTCCAACGGAATTGAGTTTTTTTTCCGACCAAGCTTTGGAGAATTAGGTCTTGTTGTTGGTATCTGCATCCAGGCAATTGGAATGTATCAATTTTATGCTCTCAGGTTCACATAGAGGGGGCCTTCACCAAGTATCCAACACCGATTCAATTGTTTATCGGTTTGAGTTGTAACAAGTTAAATATATCAGCTACAGCTAACAACATTTAACTGAAGTATGACTTCCAACTCAATCATTTTGCAGAAAATAAATGGCTCCTGGAGGAAAGTGAGTAGAGACACTTGAAATGCCTGAATAACAAAGGCATAATAAGTAGACAAGTGACAATCCTAATGATAAAAGCTTAAAAGCTAACCTCGACACCTATATGTATTGTTTGGCATTTCACTCCTGCCATCCTCCCACACCCAAAAGAGAGACTAAATAAATAATATCAATACGCATGTCGTTTGCATTTCTAGCTTTTCATGCATCAAAACATTCGACAAACCTTCTTTAATTCCACCTTAGGGGGTGAAGGTTCCTGATAAAAGCTTGGCATTGGACTTGCTTTAAAGTTCAAAGTCTTCCTAAACATCTTAGTCTCAGCTTCTTGAGTTTCCTATCAGAAATTTAAAAAGTTGTTATGATTTTATAAGAAAGAAACTATTTCGGCCTTAAGTTATCATATTCACAAAATAATACCTTGGACTTTGCTTGCAAGTTGCTCTTTTCTACTTCCCTTGCATGAATTTTTTCCTCAAGTTGAGTGTAGAACTACGCAACAGAATGGAGAAGATTTAGAAGTTACGTAAGAGTGCTGCCAGAATAGACGATGTAAAATCTCGAGAATATTAAATAAAGAATCAACCTCTTTCCTTTTCTCAGCTCGTTCATCACACTTGAAACTGAAACCATAATCTGGAAGAGTACCAACCCTACGAGTTTTGGCATCAGCTGCAGTGGGGCTTCTGTGGAGTAATTAAGGATAAACAGAAATATATCATTTAAAAACAGAAACTTCGAGACAAGAGCAAGAAGGAAGCGATCATATTGCAAACCATTTCAACTCATAGTCCCATACAGGAAGTAATAATGAAACAAACTGTTAAGGATACGAGGACTCTGTGTCTCCTTCAGCTTTATGATTAGGCTCTTTCTTCAGAGGCTTCAGCTTGGGTTTCTCCCTATAATACACGAAAGAACAGTTGAGAAATGGAAGGCGAAATTATCCTTCATCACCTTGAACATAAAGTCTAATTTCAGGGGATCTAGGTTGGCTAATAAAATTAATAACATGGGCAGAAGGCTGCATGATAAAAGAGAAGAACTTCAAACATAAGCATAAGTAGTACGTACATAGTGCCTTCAGAGAAGGGTGCCCCAGGTTTCTCATAATGCTGTCAGAAACAGAGAGAGGGAAAGCAATGATCAGAAGAGCAGTAACAGTTACAAAATAAAAAAGAAAAATGCACTGAAAAAGAAATTAGTCGTACTATCAGCTCCAACCTTGGATGCATTCCCTTGTTTTTCATTAACTGATCTACTTTGAAGAGGTTGTTTCGGACGTGAATTTGTAGCAAGAGAACCACCATTCGAAAGCTGTCGAAGTCGCCTTTTCACTTTTGCCATCTTTACTTTTCTTCATTAAAGCTGAAGAAACATTTTTGGGACCAGAGGGTTTCTCATTCTTGGTCTTGCCTGGAACCTTCTGAGGCTTGGTTTGCCTCACATTATCTTTAACTTCCCCTTCCTATGAAGACAGACACGTTCATAAAACATGAAATTCAGACTAATGGTAATTAATAAAAGGATTTGCATTTGATAACTGAGTGTACACTGTTACTGCCTCAAAAACCCTTAATAAAAGCACCCAAACAGAATGCAAGACCTACTACCTTAGAATCAATCAATCCACTGTTATCCAAAAAAGTCATTCACTTCTTCTCTACCTTCCCCAGTTTTTCCATTATCATCAATTTCATTCTGCAAATAAGTCTCGGAGGTTTTCTCAACATTCCCATCCACATTATCTGAAAGACTACTACCGTCCCCAGACACTCGAAGTTGCCTATCGACACCATTTTGAAGAGCAATCTCATCAAGCCCATTGTCAGGCAAGATATCTTCGGAATCCATGACACACTGAATAAAACAAACAAGTGCAAGGTCAACTACAAAACAATGAAAAGCAATTTAACACTGTCACTGATTTAAATTTTCTCAAATTATTTTCGTCTATCCACGTTCATCTCTTACAAGTTACATCCTCAAAAAGATATAAAACAACAGGTCAATTTGCAAAAATATCAATCGAATCTAGCATCTATGATATTCATTGTTGCCGTAAATTTGTGCAGGAAAAAATGAACAAACAACACTAAATTGGATCTTATACTAGCGTACCAACAATAAACAAAAAAATCTAACTGACAACGTCAGGAGTAGCTTAATTAAAAATACGCAATGAAATCAGCCAAAAAACCGAGTGAAAACAGATGATTTAAGTAGAGGAAATTTCCAATGAGAACAGAGATCTTTAGCCTCACTAAACAATTAACACATTTCCTTTCACATTGATCTACTGTTACTGAGACACAAACATGAAATCCTTAGTCTTTCTCAGCAACCAAACAAACAACAATTAATGGAGGGGAAAACAGCAGTTTCACTTATTTTATTCCTTACCTCGTGAAGCGTGCTACAATTCAAAACTTCATGAAGCCGAGAAGAAGATAAATTAGAGAGAATAGCGAAGGAAATCAAAAGGATCCGAGGAGGAATATATTTTGTGAAAGGTATTATATAGTAGCGCGGCTTTCAAATCTATTTCCAAGTCACTTTCTTTCAACAGAAAATTATTGGTGTCTGTCCCCCCATCAAATACGGCTACGAATTTACAGTTTTCTTACACCATTAAGTATCCGTTAAAGTGTTGAGGTTAAAATTATTCTGTTGATATTTAACGACTATAGTTGATTTCAAAACTTCTTTTTTAGGAAATTAATATCAACCCATTAAATGATCCGACTGATTAAAGAAATTATTATTATTTTTTTTTAAATTTTGAATTTGAATAAATGTATCTGGAAGATGTATACGTTGTCAATAACATCTATATGAATAGAATTTTAATACTTTATTAGGATTATTTGACATCAAACCCTATTTCCTATTATAAAAATAAAAATATGTTATATGTTTAGTATTATTAATTTTGGTTTGAAAAATTGTTAAAAATTGACATCAAATCATATTTATTACTGTTATTAAGAATTGTGTGAATTATAAACACTATGAAACCCTCTCTCCTTAGTTGTGCAACAAAAACAACTTTTGGAGTACTCTAAACATAACCATGAAAGGAAGCATAAAACATGCATTTAGTTTGGGTTGCCGCCTTCAGAAGTCATCCATTGGTTTTTAAAGTCCATTAATTCGGCGTATTCAATCATGGGTTCGATGTATGGGAATGTTGCGTGTATCCTCAACCTCAACTAGCATATATGGTCTCTACTTTGGGTTGAAGTAGCTTTCAGGTCCCATTTTATAAATATTGTATTAATTTAATCAGTTTACTATTAAATTCATCAATTTAATCTTTCTGTTATAGAGACTTATTTAAACTAACCATATACTATTAAATACTCATGATCATGAACTGGCGACTTCGTGGACGACTGATAATTCGAGATTAAAAAATCTGGATTATGTCCTTTAATGAAGGGTTTTGTAGACTTTAAGAAATTAACATGGCTTATCTTGTTCTGACTATTTGTTTTCGGTTTAAGTATTATATTTCTTAAATAGGTGCATCAAAAATGAGAAGATGAAGCATTGAACTAATAGCGATCGCTATGGCCAGCCATCTCATTAGTAAACCTAACTCAGAGTTCCACCAGAATAGCTTATGTAAATGATGTTGGAAGAAACACCAAAGCTGAACTATGTTATAGAACTTTGCTTGTTTAAGATGCGAAGAACACAGAGCATTTTTGTTGTCAGTTCGCCAACTGAATCGAAATTAAAGGGTGGATCTAACTGACGTGACATGTTAAGACTCGTCATTTTAATGAATTTTGATACCACACAAGAAGAAGGTCAAACAATGGACATAAGAATGTCAGCAAATATTTCGATATTACAAAAGCACAAAGAGACTTGCACATTTGGATCATGAATGTCCCAGCAATCAGTGAGAAAATTTGAAAAGATAATACGAAAGGTGGGCAATGAAAACTCAATTGTTTATATGTTTAAGAAATCAGTAAGGAGGGTATTACAGCAATCAGTGAGAAAATTTGAAAAGATAATACGAAAGGTGGGCAATGAAAACTCAATTGTTTATATGTTTAAGAAATCAGTAAGGAGTGTAGTAATACCCGGCCGGTGGCCCCATCCCGTTTACAGGTGGCATTCCGAAAGGCATCACCGGCATCGGCCCAGGTCCGTAATTCGATCCGGGGTTGCTAATTTTAGCCAAACTAGTTTGACCTTGCATCCCATCCCTTGCGTATTGCTGCCAAACCTGTTGTTCCTGGACAACAAAATGTTGTTTCTTCTCCATGTCGGAAATTTGCACATACGAAGGTGGTGGAATGCTCAAAGATGCTGCAAAAGGGTCTTGATTGACATTCTGAACCGTTCCATCTGGTGCCGGAAGAGCTAAAACTTGTGTTGTCTTCCCTGGCCCCGGTAATGCCACGCTACTGGCACTCCCCCCACTCAACTGAGCAGTACTAACATGCTGCATTACCGTTCCTTGATCGTACATGCCATTCAATAACAATGGATCGAACCCACCGCCCAAAGCTGCCTTTTGCCTCGGCAAATTACTAGCTGACTCGACCAAAGCCAATTCCCAATCTGCCTTCCCCGGCTCGGATGCCGGAGTTTGCCAAGCCGATGTCACTTCGGGCTGGCCATTTGATGGGAAAGCTTCCCATGATCCATTGCCACTATTAGCTGAAGGAACATTAAATAAAGCCAAGGCCAATTTGTTCCCCTGATGATCGGCGGTGACAGCATCATCCCTCAAGTTCACTAAATCCTCTTGTGGTTTAACAGGGCTCTAGTGGTGGTGGTGGTGGTGGAGTGTGATTCTCCGGTGGAGGTAGTGCCTTTATTTCATTCATATCTGGTTCGGACTCTGCCTCTTTTGGTGGAGGAGGAAGCTCCTTCTCTGGACTTATCGGCCTCTCAGCTCCATCCCTCACATACACTCCCAATGTGTCTAACAACTTACTCGAAATCCTCTGCACCTCGGGATACTCTGATGATCTCACCACACCAATTTCCTTGCACCAATTGCAAAATGCAATCAACTCATCGATCTGCTTTGCAGCACTTGTATACGCATCGAACGCCTTGACGGAATCTGGGTATTTCATATTGAAAAACCTATCAAGCAACACAGCTAAAACCTCGCAGATATCAGCATACAATTGAAAACTCTCTTTCATAACAGGATACAAAGCATACAAGATCATCCTACTAATCTTAGCCAATCCGGTAGGCCGACACGACAAGAACCGATCCAAGAACCTCTGCAAGTGTCCCATTTTACCAAAAATCATCTCGGGCTTCATTTCCCTCAATGGGGTCACTGTTTTCTTCTCCTCCCTCCCATCTCTCCCACCTACTGTCTCATTCATATCACCATAAGATCTTGTTCTCCTGGGCATCCCATAGGCTCCATATCCATTGTCACCTCTGAAATCTCCATAATCGTACTCGTTCAGTGTCGGTGACGATGACCAGAAAGTATCTCTTATGCCACCGTTTCGACCTTCGCCGTTTCCATGACTACTTCCCCCACTGCCCTTACCTCTTTTCCGATCGAAAAGCATCAATTCAAGTCTTTGATCCAAATACATAGCATAGGCTCGAACAAAAGCAGAGTGATCCCATGAACTCGAATGTGCCTCGTCTCTAAAATCCGACATATTCAACAACCTCGTACCTTTCCTCGTAGCATACAAGATCTCTTCCTGAAAAACCGGACCTCCATCGTTCATCAGCCTGTGAACAAGCACCAGTGCTTTGAGTGCCACGATCCAGTCACGTGTCTTCCCCAGCGGTTTCGACACCGTGTAAACGCACGCGCGGACTTACCCGCCGGAGTAGGAGGTCAAACTGAGGATTTGGCGTACGTATTTCTCATCCGCGGGGTCATCGTCGTGGCTCGTCGCTTTCACAATAGCTACCTCGAGTTCCGGCGCCATGTTGCTCTCTACTTTAGCTATTCCTATGCTCGTTTGGTCCTTAACGGCCCCGATCGCTTTCCGTAATGTGCTCGGCGCCATCTCCGCCCTTTGATTTCAACCGAATTTCACCTCCTTCACTTCAAATGTTCATGATCAAAAGTAGAGATCCAATAAATTTAATTAGATAACTCAAATTAAACCATTAATGCAATCCGAATATAAATGAAGAAAAGTTTTACTCACCTTCGAGATTTGTAGCCGAAGGCAGCGAAGCGGTCACAAAAGCGCCGGTTCCGTTAACTGTTGAAGAAATACCAACTAACTAACAGAGTATCGAGGAAGAAGAAGAGTTGAGGAGACGGCGGAGGAGAAAGGGAATGGTAAAATGGGGTGGAACGTGGCAAGCAGCAGGTGTTTTACTTTTAGCAAAGGTATCGGAGGGGCGTGTGCTTGCTTTGTTTGGTTTTGTCTGAAAATGAAACTCGTCTTTGTTCTGTTGAGTTTGAAGTAAAAAAAAAAACATGATTTCGCAGCTTTGCTTCCACATTTTTCTTACATAGATTTACTTCTTCTTTTTGGTGAAGTAAACAGGATTAAGTTATTTTTATTTTTCCTTTTTTAAGAAACATTTGTTAGCTTGTCGGAATCCGTATGGTGCTACTTACACAACATAACTGACAAATTAAGATGCTACGTCCACTATCTCCAAGACTCCAGCCCCATCTAAACTATAAATGATATAATTAAATAATTTAAAATTACTTTAATTATTTTATTCAAACACAAATATCCCGATTTAAAATTAATTAATATTTAGAACAATCTAAACCAAAAATTGATTTAAAAATTTAATTATTCCCATTAGTCAATCATTCCTTTATCATATTTATAAAGTAATGAAATAGTGTTGTGTCATATTTCTTTCATTATGTTATGATAAATTTAAACGGCTAAAATAATAACAAAGGTATAAGATACTTATGAATAATAAAATAAATATTTAACTTGGTAAAAAGTAATTTAATTATCTAACTCAGAAAATATATAGTTTAAGGATTCATTGTTGATAATTGAAATTATTTTCAAGCTTTGGAATGCTTCAGCTTAAATTCCATAAATTTAAAGAGTCAATAATCAAATTTAAAGCATGACCAAATTTCATAAAATTTATCTGGAAAGTGAAATTGTTCAACTAACACAAGCTGCTTAATTTAAGAAATTATTTTTCTAATATATCTATAAATCGGAAAAAATAAAGAAATTAATTCTCTTAAAAAATAGAAAATAAGAATAATCTAAATTTTATTAGAGAAATAAAGTTATTGCTACACTGAAGGTCAACGTCGCCACTTCTTGTCGACAACATTTCAGAAATCGTCATGTTAGTTTTCAAAATTTTGGGATTAAAATTAAAAAAAGATGAAAGTGCAGAGTATGATAACTTTTGAAAATTCATGTTTTAAATCTCTAACTTTCTTTTTCTTTTATTTTACTCTCAAAATTAAAAAAACATGAAAAAAAAATTCAACAAGACATGACGAATTCTACAATATTGTCGAAAGTAGACTCCGGCTTCCATTATAATAATGATCCAATTTCCCTAATTAATTATATATCATCTTAATTTTTTAAGTTTTATTTTTCAAATGGCTTATTTCTCTAATTTATCCCTATGAATCTGATAGGGTTTTTATCAAAGTAAATTCCAATCATATATGCTAATTAGGCAGAGTACATGAAATTAACAAGCTAATGGTAATTATATATATGCTTCACACATCTTGTTCTTGCCAGGCTCTTGCATAAATAAACAGTTTCACACTTGATTTTACAGCTTTTACAGTTACAACTAGTTACTGCATGGTTTCAACCCCAGTTAGGTAGTATCTTTAGCCGCTGCACAGTCCTAATAAAACTTCTGCAAAACCAACAGTAAAAACAATGAGGATTTAATATTTCAGCAGTCTTTAATCCATGTTTTAGTAGGTAGAAAAATATACGTACTGCCATGGAATATCTCCTGCAATCAACCAATCTCCTTCATTGTCCTGGTAAGTGAGAGTATAACTTGTATTGTAATCATCTTCACCACAGGTTGTATCTGTTCAAAACAGTCCACGGAAAGAGAAAAAGTAACCTTAAATATTGTTTGGATATTGGGTAATTTTAAGTGAGTTCGCTTATCATGTACGATTACTTACTTTGGGTGAACATGGTAATTAATGAATTGGTAAGTTGGTGATAAGAATGGTAATGCCTCGGGTCAATCTTTCTTGCTATTGGTACCCCTTCCATCTTCACCTTGACATAAATGGGTCTTCCATTTCCATTCCCAATTTCTGCAGCTCTTTTATTCTGATGGTGATGATGACGATGATGCAATGTTCTCTTCCTCCATGACTTGATGGGTGGCCATCCCACAACTTGATCTTCTTCTGCATCATTCATACTGCAGTATTCAAGATCAACTTGTTAATATCCAATGACCGATAAAACATCATGGATCAAATGAAGAGAACTTACTCATGAATGGCGAATGTTCTATAGTTTCTATCCTTGTGTTCATCGTCTTCCTCGTTTGGATGGACACTCCAAAAAAGTAAAGGCATTGTGTCACACTCATCATCGTTTCCAGATGTCTGCTCGAAACCACGTGTGTTTTTAACACGGTAACCTTCGTCTACTAAACAGCTCATTCGTTTAAGGTGGTTGTTCGGAGTGGGGACAGCAAGACACAGTTGAAGCTCCACATCAGACATTGAAACTGTTACTTAAACACGATGTAATATGATAAAAGGAAAATGGGAGATGGGAATGTAGCTTCTGGTTGAAGCTGAGGAAGTGTGTGTATATATGGGAGAGAAGTTAGGGACGACAGCAATGGGGGTTGGGTCGGGAAAAGCCTTGACAATGATCCCGACAGGTAAGAAAACGACGCACCAACTTGCCCAGCCTAACTCCAAGTTTCACCCTGTCTTTTGCTCCAACTCCACCTAAATATTATAATCTTAAACTTCAAGGGGACTAATTAATAAAAAATAAAATATTATAATCTCAATCCCATCATCTATTCCATAACTTAAAAAAATAAAATATTATAATCTTAAACTTCAAGGGGACTAATTAATCTCTTAGATTATGTCACATTAGACGAATTTATTATGCAATCATTGTCATTTTTTTGTGTTGTTACATAGAATTTCTCAATTTTGATGATAACTGAATTGAACATTTGAATAGCAATATCTAAACAAATACAACAGTTGGTGGACAGGAGTTTGAAATTCCAGACACACACCAAGCTGTGGACAAACATCCCTAAAACACAACACGATACATGAACTCTTCGGTTCAAACAGCATCCTTGATAATGGGGAATTTAAACATTCTCTCCATCTTCTTCCTTCGTACTTTTCTTCCACTCAAATAGCATTGATTCCTTTTGTCTTAGTTTCCTTCTACAATGGGAGGCAGAGGGAGGGGAAATGAACTTAGACCAAGTGGCCAACGAGAAGGTCTTTGTTGGATGTCGATCTATCAATTCTAATCCAGATCGAGCATTTTACCGGATAAATTCGAATTTAATTTAAATTAAATTTGATAATTAAAGTTAACAACATGAATTCGAAAGTAAAACCAATCAAATTCAAAGCCGGAATGAACATAAATTAGAATAATTTAAAACTGAAATGATTTGAATATTAATATATTCATATAATCGATTAAGTTAATAATTGAAATGATTGAAGTTACAATAACTCAATTCAAAAATTAAAAAGAAACAATCGACATGATCAAAAATCACACTAATTTAATCTTAATATATATATATATATATAAATGACATTGAAAAGATAGAGATCGTAGGCGTTTTTTCTGAAAAATCATCGGTGATCGGTATATTTACCGATCTAACACCGATCAGATTATATTTTCTGATCTAACACCCGTATCAGTAAAGCGCACTCTCTGCCCTGCGCTATATGCTGATTTGGCGCCACGTGGGGTATAGCCAACCCCCTATACCGCGCTATACGCTGACATGACTTACACGTGAGTATAGCGCGGCCCCTGATCCACACTATAGATGTTTATCTGACACGTGGGGTATAGCGCGGTACAGGGGGCGTGCTATACCTTTAATTACCCCCCCAATCCTCCCTATAAATACCCCCATCCTTTATTACTTTCATCACACCATATTCTCTCAAATTATCTCATGTTTAAAAGATGTTCCCAAGCCACCGCAGCCATTTATGATGCCGCAGCCATATATGATGTCGCCGCCTTTCCATTACCAGATGTCGCCGCCGCCGCCTTTACCTGGTTTTATGACCCCGCCGCCACCACCGTCACAGATGACCCCTCATGGAGGCTATTATAGGTCTATGTTTGTATATCCGACTTGGGGTTCATATGCTGAATATCTGGCGGGTTCAGCCTCATCACCCATGGCCGCAGGACAAACACCTCCTGTACAATTTTCACATTCAGTGATGTCTGAGTTTTATGAGTTTTTACAGTTTTCGCAGGCCGGTGGGATAGTCAGTCATACACCTCCAGGGTCCTTATTCTATGGAGGTGCTTCATCGTCATCGGCTCCTCATCAACCTAATGTACCTGCTCAGGACGACGACGATGACGATGATGGTGATGATAATGACAACGAGGAGTCAGAACCAGTGATACGAAGAAATCCTTATCGAGATCAACAACCACCGCCCTGCGGAACACATTCGCGTCGCAGACATCGATATATATTTTTATTATATTTGTATTTACTTTATTTTGTTAAATTTGTTGGACTTTTTTTAATGTATTTCAGTTAATTTTGTTTATTACTATTTAATATCAGTTATTGTAATTTGGTTATCATTTACCATTTAATTCTTATTGTAAGTTTGTTGTATTTAAAATTATATTCAAATACCAAATTGTTATTAGTTTGATAAAATTTAATGATTGTGTTCATTTTTTTAATCTTCATCAGCGATTATCGAATGACATTAACTTGAAGTAAATGCAAATCAAAGTACAAGAATTATTATTTGATAAACAAATACATCATTTCCTCATCAATTGTTACTTGATGGCAACAGAAGTGGACATATTTTTCTAATGTGTCCTGGGTTTCTACAATGCCCACATCTTCTGTCTTGTCTAAATATTTCTCGAATATCCATATCGCAATGAATTCGATTGGATTTTGGACGACCACGCTCCCTCAATAAACTCGAATTTGGTATAATCAGAAGCCAATCTTGAACCTCATCAGGGTCTTTGTCATTACCTATGGGGGGAAACTCAAATTCGTATACCTTAAAAACTTCAGATAGTAGGTATACGGGATCCACAAAATGGTTATAGTCTTGACGTGTATGCGAGCAAGTTGCTATCACATGAGAGCATGGATACTTCAGAGCTTGAAAAAACCCGCAGTCGCAGGTTCTGTCCCTTAGATTTACTCTTAACGACACAGCTTCAATCCCTTGAAGATGTCGCGGCAACTCTGCGACACGAAACATTTCATGCCTTCTAGAGAAGCTTGTTACAGATATTCCATTTGATGCATCAATTTTTTTATAGATCTGCAACTAATCTAGGGTGATAGACATGACCGCCTTGCATCTAGGTTTGAGCTTATCCCCCGAGCTTCGCAAAAAGTGCCCCCAAACAAAAATATATAGTCTTTACCAAAGCCGCTACTGGTAAGTGACGTGCACCCTTTAAAGTTGAATTGATTATCTCTGCCAAGTTGGTCGTCATGTGTCCATATCGATATCCACCATCATATGCGTTCGTCCATATTTCTTTATCGATGAGGCTGATGTAATCGTATCCTTCCTCGTTCTTCGCCCACAAATCTTGAAGCATTGATTCAAACGTTCGAGGAAGTAGTTCGTAATCTGATCAAAAAATGTATAACTTACTAACTTGCTTTCTTTGCAAAATTAAAACGATTGAAAGAAAACAAACTACATCAGTTTCACTTACCCATGCGCACAATTAATTGACGCTCATCATTCTTCTTGTACCTTCCATGATAGTTCGCAGAAATGTGTCGGAGATAATACCTAAGTTGGACAAAGGGTGGTTGCCACATTGGACCCAAAGACTCCATTGCTGCTTTGATCTCAGCTCCGCGATCTGAAATGACACAGATGTTTTCCCTCGTGATAACATGTGCACGCAAATTTCGGAGGAAAAAAGCCCAAGAATCTGTATATTCTCCTTCGTCAAGAGCAAAAGCAACTAGAAGAATGTTGCGATTGCCATCTTGGACAACTGCCAATAATAAAACTTGCTTGTATTTTCCATACAAGAAAGTCCCGTCGACACAGGCTTGCAGTATTTGACAGCATTAACGTACTGTGGGTAACTTCAAAAAACCCGGTAGAATTGGCTTCGATCGCGAAGAACTCGATCATTATGGTATGCATAGGAGGTTTCGAAGTCCACAATTGTCCCAGGATTCAACGTCCGCACCAGCCTAAACCAACCTGGAAGTTCGTTGTAAGATGCATCCCATTCGCCATGAAGTTTGACAATGACATTTTGTTTTGCTAGCCAAGCTTTTTTATAGGAGACAGTGTACCCATACTGCGATTGTATAGCTGAAATCAACACTACAACAGCTATGTGAGAGCTTGTTTTTACCATGGGCATAATGGCTTGGCATATCATTTCAGAGTCCAAGTTGGGATGATCTTGGTTGACCCCTCCAGCACAACATGTGTGAGGACCGTTGTATACTGTTAGTTCCCATATGTTGTTTTTTCTCTTCATTTTTGATACGCGAACCATCCAATTGCATCCGTTTTCGCGTCGGGCACAATAACATACATATTTTTCGGTCGTCGATCGATTGACTCTGGACTGAACAAAATTACGGATATTGTAATTTTTTATAACCATCACCGCTTCTTCTTTGCTTGAAAACTCCATGCCTAAATATAACTCACCATTATTTATTGATGAGTAATATCCATAGTCACCGAGATGAGGCATATCTGCAAATTCTGGCCCGTACATTGCACCATAATCAGCTTTATACATATGTGCAGGAGGGCAGTTTGTGCCATATTTCCTGGAACTTCATCATCATCGGAGTTGAATTGCGGTGATTCTGGGTGAATGAATAGTCCAGTCTCAGCACCATCCGCACCAGGCTCACGAAGCGGTTCTTCTGGTGGAGATGATGGTTCCTCCATGCTCTCCACATTTAGGTCGAAGAACCTACTACTTGCACGCCTTCCCCTTGAACTGGAAGGCATATCGACATTGAGATCGAAAAAGCTCACAGTCGAATGCCTCCCCCTGGAGCTTGAAGCCATCGTGTCAAATGGAAACTGCACAGATGGTTGCGTCGATGGCATCTCCATATGATCAAAGAAATTTGCATATGAATGCCTTCCCCTTGAACTAGATGTGGTGTTGTCATACGGGTTGTTCGTGGACCCACCTCGGTACATATCGTAAGGAGTTGCGGATGAATGTCTCCCCATTATGGCATTAAAATCATTACACATTAATGTAGTCGGGCTGTCAACTTGATCAACTTGTTCAGCCAGCCCATAGTGGGAGCTTAAAGATTGACCCCGAATAGCACGCACTTGAACAAAATGTGCATACATCTCAATAGCGGCGTCTAAATAATTACTTTGAGCTTCAACCATCATTTGAACATCATCATTGTTCGAAAGTTCAAACGCTGTATAAGTTAATGGCAACAATGATGTTGGAAATTTGTACTGCAACGACGACATTCTTCTACTGCTTCCAACATGAATTTTCCTCGAAATCTTTGTTATCAGCCCCTCAAGAGTTATGTTTCTCTTGAATGATATTTTAACACGCTTATTTGATACGAAAACAACGTCGGTTTCATCTTCTCGAATTTCACCATCATAATAAACAATAGCTGAAAGTCGCGTCATTCTTTAAGTTTAAAAGTGCGACAATATTATATCTGTAAAAAAAATAACTGAAACAAACCTGGTTAAATAAATTATATATGAGCGAAAATATAACACAATAAATTTTTTACACATCAACGTAAATAATTTAAATAATATAATTTTATATTATTATCTGTACCACAAAACTATTTTGACGTATGCTCATGTTTTTCAATTTTACAAACACAAAAATTAATTGAAAATAATTAGTATAATATGTTTTCAAATAATTATAATAAACAATAAGTATAATAAAAAAAATTATAACGAAAAATCGCACGAACTTCTAAATCAAATATGAGACAATTACCAGAATTATTACTCGTTGACGAAATTGTTGTATTAATTTATAAGTTAGAGGAGAGAGATGTGAGGAGATTTGAGAAACTTAACGGAGAGCGAAGGGTATTTATAACCATACAAGGCGTGGTACATACATCGCGCTATATGTAATTATTCAGATAAAGGTATAGCGCGGACCAGGGTCTGCGCTAAATATAATTCATACCCAGGTATAGCGCTGAGCAGGGGCAGCGCTATATTCCTACGTGACGTATAATACGGATCAGAGTCGCGCTATACCCACGTGTAAGTCATGTCAGCGTATAGCGCGGTATAGGGGCACGCTATACCCTACGTGACGTCAAATCAATATATAGCACGAGACAAAGAACGCGCTTTACTACTACGGATATCAGATCAAAAAATATAATTTGACCGATATTAGATCGATAAATATACAAATCACATGTAATTTTTCGAAAAAAATGCCGAGATCGTATAAGTGTGTCTACAATTAAAGCGAGGCAATAATAGGAGAGAGAAAATGAAGTTGGACAAAGTCATCGGAAGAATAAATTATCCGTTTGTACGGGTGTTTGTTTGATGGCATTGAATTGGCGGTAGGGTTGATTTGTTTGGGAACATTGAAAGGTGTTCACGTGATGGCCGGCATGGGGCTCGACAACCCTGCTTTTATTTTCAAACCACCTCTCGGAGTTTCTCATGTTCCGTCCCATCATGGCTCCATCTTCAATCTTGATCGGATCATCATCATGCTCGTGTGCTGGAACCCACTCTCAACTCACTAAATCTTACTTATAAGATTTTGATCCTATCTTATAATTTTTACATGATTAAATGTGATTCAATTTATATTTTTTAAGAAAAAATTATGATAATAACGATATCAACTGAATTAAAATTAAATCTGTTAGACTTCGACAATAGAAAGTTGACGTGCAAGAGGGAAGGTCCCACTCCTAAGCATTCATTTGTCTTCATCATTTAAACAAGTCCCTTTTCAAGGGATCAAATCATCTCCGATTGATAACAGCAATTCCCATGGCAAGCATGATAAGAAACTCTTTCAATTGATTGTGACTTCACTTGCACAATTCAAAGTATTTTGTTCATAATTCAATCTCCTAGAAAGCATACTCCTAATTTTTTTTTCTAACTCAATTCAATTATCGTCATCAACGAAGCAATAAAAGGATTAAAATTACAGAAAATTTAAGATTGTGTTCAAATCTCACTATGTATAAATAATCTTTAGGTTAAATTTAAATTTTTCTCTGCACTTCTTGATTAGATTTATTCTTATCTAAATCAAGATATATCCTGATCATCAATTTAAATTTTAACTTATTACGACCATAGACGAAGCCAGGATGAAACTTTAAGAGACAAATATAAAAATAGTAAAAAAATGAGGATCATAGTTCTAATTTATTTAAAAAATTAAAATGTTATGTTCTAATTTATTTAATTTTAAAATTGATAGAAATTTAAAAGTTATTCAAATTGAAAAATTGATGAACCATAACTTAATTTGCCTAGTTGTAAAACTAAGAGGTGCCTATAAAACAATTTGACCCGAAAACTGAAAAACCAATGAGCAGTGAACGAAGAATTGAACCTAAAACATTAGAAGAGACCATGATTTAATTTATAATTTAAATAAAATTTTCAAGGTCTTGATCCATCCTACCGTAACTTTAATTTCAACGCTGATTATAATTATTCGAAATATATTAAAGGCATGACATGGGGCTCACATTACTTTAAGGGTGCATTACTGTACTTCCTTCGTTAAGTGGTACCCTTATCCATTGGGACCGTTTAATTGCTGCTGGCTAGCTGGCTGGCTTCATTCAAGTGTAACTACGACCTTTGCAGCATCCAATGTGCTATAGTGTGACTGAGACCCTCCTCCCCATTCTTTTCATCAATAATTTCTTTGCATTATCCATTTTATAATTGATAGAGTGAAAGATCTAAAAATTTAAAAATGGGGTCTAAAGTTTTAATATATATATATATATACACACAAAAATAAGAGCAAAATTCGAACTCTAAGCAAGACTTAACGGCTCAGTTGTCCATGTTGATGATAGTAATTGGACTGGAAGACAGGTAACAAGATCAAACCCAGCAGGAAAAACATCAAACTCTTGAGCTTTATGCTTTCATTTTTTTGCTATTCAAATGATTAAAAATATATAATACATCAGTGTTAAAAAAGGGTCATCTTCTTCTCTGCATTACTAGTGTAACTGTAACCCCAAAATTCAATGTAATTCATTTCTGGGAACTGTAATGGAGATTGTGGGGGTTACCTTATCGTATTCTATAATATTCTAAGTTCTAACCCCATTTTATCTATCTCCAGACTCGATTAATTCCTTATCATTATTCTTTGACATGATATCACATTTGAGTCTATGCTGTAGAAGAGAATTCACCTGCTTTCTTAATTTCGCGTTCTCGGTGAAGATGTCTGCTATGATCTTCCTTAACTCATCATCTGTTCCAATATCATATTGATTGTTATATTGGCTGTCAATATCGCCAGTGGCACTGCCTTCTCCCTTGGCTAATAGTTGTACCTAATCAGATTTTTTGCAAGGTAAGAATTTAGTTAAGTGAAAAATATAAGGCCAAGCAATTAAAGAGTGGAAACTAACATTAACAATTTGCATAAAAGCCACGGAAAATGATATTAAACAAATAAAATTCGAGGGGGCGGGCGGGGAGTGGATGGGAGATAGAGGGCACATAAGTAGCAAACTTGTTTATGTGTTTACTTATGGTGGTGAAAGTCTACATATTCCAGTCAGCATTGAAGAATATTAATTGGGAACAAAAAAGGCAAAAACTAACTTTTATTTTCTATCTAAATATTTCCCAATAAATATTAAAAAGCGTCAAAGGGACTTTAGTTTAACAGTATTGAATACCCAAAAAACCAAGGTACCTCAGTAAGTAGGAGAGTGATTTTATCATCAGAAGTAGTCAACAAATCCAATGCTTCTTCAACGGAGGAAGACTCTTTGATTAAATCTTCATCATCTGTAGACAAATTCACACTGCATCCAAGAAGCCGGTTGTGAAGAAGCCGACAATCATTGAGCATTTTTTCTCTTGCATTTCTTACATGCTTAATTATTTGTCTTTCCTGTTTTAGTTGTGCCTGCAAAATTCAGAAGATTACATCTCATTGCAAGAAAACTTGGAGCAATGATTTGCTCTGACTACATCTAATAGCTCTAGAATACTTAAGGAAGATAAAGTTTTTCAACAGATAATAATGTTTTTCTGTTTCTTTTATTCTGGTTTCTTTTATTCTGGTTGAATGCCTAAAGAAGAAACTTAATGACTAACAAATACTTCAGTACAGATAGTTACCTCGGCTTCAGATTTTTCTGACAGTGATTGACCCATCTCTTGCTTCAGTTCTTTTTGGGATTTCCTGAGAGATTTGACCTCTTTAACTAGAACTTTAATATCTGCTTTTGATTTTGCCTCTAGTTCTTCATATCGCTTTGATATATCATTCAAATGCTCCTTAGTAACATTTAATTCTTGCAGCATTGCATCTTTCTCCACAGCAACAGATTGGTTGGTTGTCTCTGTCATTTGCTTCTCATCCTGTCTCATGTTTTAGTCTCTATTAGTGAATGGTTAAACATTACAAGTATATTTAAATGACAACGGGATAACATTTGTGGTGCTTCTAAGAGAAAGCAGTGGTGGTTAATTTTTCAGAAGAAAAACAAAACAATTCACGTAACATTGAATACAACTTCACAACCAAGTTTTTTAGTGTTCCCATCCTAAAATTAGTTTTGGCTTGATCTTCTGGGGTGTGTGAGAGGCAGAGCGTAAGATTTTTATATAAAAAGAAATCAAACAACTAGAAACATACATATCATGCCCGTGCACATTGAAGCATATGACAGTAACAAAGGAAAATAAATTTCAATAATAAAACAGGGTTGAATGCATTACCCGTTTAGGATTCAACTTCAACTCCATTTCCAATGATTTCCGACGAAGGTCTTCCATTTCCCACTGCATTTGAGTAAACTTTTCTCTTTCAATCAGGATAGCTTGCTGCAGGTTTTCTCTACTTTTTTGTTTGGTGTTTTCAAGTTCCACTTCCAAATCCTTAACCTGAGCATCTCCAATTTGTTAATTCAATTCAACCTCAAAATTGCTAATAATTTACTAAGAATAAATCTCATTCCACCTCTTGTGGGATATTAAGCACCCAAAGATACAACGCATTAGAAAATGAAATGAAAGATAAAATACTCGATACAAAAGAGGAAAACTATAAAATGCAATACCAATTGATACATCCGAATGCTGATCAAACAAAGGATATTAATATTATTAAAAGAAAGGGAAACCGATATAGTGAATATAAATAGTCAACTTCACAAGTATGAGCTATCGTTGCCAAGATCCCTGAATACTAGTAATATTTCCATTGTAATGATACCAAACTATTTAAATTATGACTACTGTCAAAATTTATCTCAGAAAGTATATACACACCTTTGTGGTAAGATAACCTTTGACTGCTATTTCTTGATTTAATCTGGCTATAAGATCCTCCATGTCAGTTTTAGAAGTGACTAGTCTCCTCTGCATGTTTAGAAGAACCCTGTTTATCTTATGACGCTGGTCCATTGGAAGAACTATTTGTGTATCTCCAGCAGACTGAGGATCGGAGTTTCCAAGGGTTCCCATGGTATTTAATATTTCAGCAGTTCCAGGAAGGTCACAAGAGCAATTGACGGATGAATTTGGAATCCCAGAAATCGACATGTCACTACCTCTCAAAGAACTTACATCGCTTCCAACACTTTCAGTTGATAACTTCCGAGCATGACCAGCCACCTTAGTCGGATCTATCTCGGAAAAGTGTTCCAACCCATCAACGGCAATAAATGAAGCTCTGGACCATTTTCCATTATAAATGTCTTTCCCCAAAGTATTATTCATGTGTATGGCTTGTGATTTATGCCTAGGAAAATCTCCTAGCTGCTCCAAAATTGCTTGCCCCATGAATAGTCCCTCATCAATATTGGACATACCATACTTCACAAGTTTTTCTATTGAAACTGTTAAATCTTCATCCAGTGTCAGATCTCCCGAAACACTTTCAGAACTGTCACCCCTCCCTAATCTAGGTGTCCCAACCTCAGATGTCTCATAAGCAGTATCACTACCATAATCTGATGTGATTGACGAACTGCCAGCAAAATGTGATATACTTGAATTGGGAGGAACATTATTTGACGACATTGTGCTATTTCCCACAATATTAGCTTCTGATGAGCAATCATTTAGTTCTTGAAATGCTGGAAAGAATAAGAAATGTAAAAACTCCAAGTTAATGGTGAAACTAATCTTAATTATGAATAATATATATCTATACACACACATATATATGTAGGAATTATAGAGATGATTTGTTATCATTCCTATAGAGATATGATTTGTTACCATTCCTCTAGAGATATGATTTTGTAAATAGATTTCTACAATCCCTTATTTTAAGGGATCATATCCTAGGATTATTATTTTTCCTTTCTTAGAGTTTCCTACTTTAGAGAGATATTTTGTATATAAATATGTAATCTGTCATATTGAAAAGAATAAGAAATTACAGAGAATTACTCTGATTTCTACATGATATCAGCTTAGGTTACGGTTTCTTTCAAACCTAGATGATGTCCACAACTTCTTCTCCTACTCCGGAGATCACTTTAAATCCAGAAAATTTTTATGGTTCAGCTGCTCAATCAGAAGGTAATCTGGTCATGAAAGAACCAGAAGGTAAACCTCATGCTACAGTTTTTTTCTCCTCCCAGTCGTCCCCTAATTGGATCCTCGATTCTGGTGCTACGGATCATTTGACTGGTAATAAAGATTTGTTTTGCAATTTTTTTCCAAACTTTGGTAAAGCTGTCAAAACGGCTGATGGTTCTTTGTGCAAAATAGGACATGACACTGTTATTCTCAATGACCAGATTGTACTTAAAAATGTCCTCTTCGTACCAAATCTGGCTTGCAATCTCGTTTCCGTTAGTAACTTGCACTGCTATGCAATTTTTAATGATATTGATTGTACTTTGCAGGCATTGAACTCGAAGAAGATGATTGGTAAGGCCAGCTTGCAGAATGGTCTTTACATTCTTCCTGCCTCTACTAAAACCAAAATCTCGAAATCTTTCACCGCTTTAGAAAAAGTTGATAATGTTATGTTATGGCACTATCGTTTAGGTCATCCCAGTTTTCACTATCTTGCAAAAGTTTTTCCTGCTCTATTCATTCATAAAAGGCCAAATTCTTTTTCTTGCAAAGTTTGCTCTCTTGCCAAACATACTAAATCAATTTATTCTCCTTCTACATATAAGCCTTCTCACCCTTTTGCTTTGATCCACAATGATATTTGGAGTCCTTCTCGGGTGAAGAATGCTGATAATTGTAAGTGGTTTATCACTTTCATTGATGATCACAGTAGGATAACTTGGACTTATTTGCTAAAAGATAAATCTGAAACTACGGGTGTTTTTACCCAATTTTATAACATGGTTCTCACTCAATTTGGGTCTAAAATTCAGCTCTTTAAATCTGATAACGGCAATGAATTTTTTGCTAAGTCTTTGGGTGCGTTTTTCAGGGAAAAGGGCATAGTTCAGATTAGTTCTTGTGTTGACACCCCACAACAAAACGGTATTACCGAAAGAAAAAATAGACACCTCCTTGAAGTTACTCATTCTCTTCTATTTACCACTAATGTTCCAAAATATTGTGGGGGGGAACCTTATTAACTGTCACATATTTAATCAATCGAATGCCTAGTAAGGTTTTACAATTTCAAACACCTCAATTTATGTTTTTGCAATACTTTCCCCATTTTAAACATATCTCCTCCATTCTTCCACTTAAAATATTTGGTTGTACTGTTTTTATCCAAAACATTGCTCCTAATAAGTCCAAGTTAGATCCTAAATCATTAAAGTGTGTACTGGTTGGGTATTCTTCACTTAAGAAGGGTTATAAATGCTATCATCCTCCTTCAAAACGATTTTTTACCACTATGGATATAACATTTTATGAGCAGGATCTCTATTTCACTCAGGCTGAAATTCAGGGGGAGACATGGAAGGATTTTCAGCCACATCAGGTATCTCCTCCTACTCTTCATTCTCAACCTTCAGAATTGCCACCAATTTTGTCCTTACCTACAGATTTGTCACCTGTAACTACTCCCATTGATCCACCGTTAGTACCTATCACTACTTCACCCATACCCACTTTAAATACCCTTCCTGAAAATACACCTACTCTTATTCAAAATATTCCACAAACAACACCAATCAAACAACTCCGTTTCTATACAAGGAAAAGAAAACATATTCCTGAGGCTGTTTTGCAATCTGATGATTGCCGAGAATTGGATTTGGGTCCAGCTGCTGAAATAGAAGATGAAATCAGTAAGTCCACTTCCCCTACTCTAGATGACTTCCCTATTGCTATTAGAAAAGGGGTTAGATAGTGCACCAAGCATCCTATTGAAAAATTTGCTGGTTATAATTCATTGATGCCGTCTTTTCAAGCATTTACAACAAACTTGGATAAAGAACAGGTTCCCACAAGCATAGCTGAAGCTCTAAATGATTCAAAATGGAAAAGGGCTGTTGAAGATGAAATTTGTGCACTGGAGAAAAATGCTACTTGGACTGTTACGGACCTTCCTCAAGGAAAAAAGGTTGTTGGATGTAAATGAATCTTTACTGTAAAGTATAACTCAAATGGTAGCATCCAACGATACAAAGCGAAACTAGTGGCCAGAGGCTTTACACAAACATATGGGATAGATTTCACAGAAACTTTTGCACCTGTGGCGAAGCTGAATACTGTTCGAGTACTCCTAAGTTTGGCTGTAATTTGCGATTGGAAATTACACCAACTTGATGTAAAAAACACTTTTCTTAATGGCAAGCTAGAAGAAGTCTATATGAAGTTGCCACCTGGCTTAAAGTCTGTTGAAGGAAGTAACAAGGTGTGCAAGCTCAACAAGTCTCTATACGGGTTAAAACAATCACCCAGAGCTTGGTTCGAGAGGTTCACTAAAGTCATCCTAAAAAACGGCTAAAAGCAATCCCTCGCCGATCACACTCTTTTCATCAAGGTAACTTCTACAAATAAGAAAGCTATCCTTATTGTGTACGTGGACGACATAATTCTTACCGGAGATGATGAAGAAGAGATTTGCAATTTGAAGAAGTTGTTAAATAAGGAATTCGAAACCAAGGACTTGGGAAAGCTAAGGTATTTCCTAGGAATGGAGGTGGCAAGGTCAAAAGAAGGACTTGTGATCAACCAAAGAAAATATGTACTTGATTTACTCAAAGAAACTGGTTTTCTTGGTTGTAAGCCGATTGATACACCAATGGAGGCAAGCTTGAAATTTAACAAAGAAGATGGGTCCTTGGTAGACAAAGAGAAATTTCAAAGATTAGTTGGGAAACTAATTTATTTATCCTTGACAAGGCCAAATATAGCATTTCCTGTAAATGTGATAAGTCAACACATGACTAATCCTACTGAAGAGCATATGGCAGCAGCAAAATAGAATTCTCAAGTACTTGAAGAAAACTCCAGGACACGGTTTAATGTTTAAGAAGACACAAGACAGAACTGTTAAGATCTTTACAGATTCTAGTTGGGCCGGAGACCTTACTGAAAGAAGATCCACTAGTGGCTACTGCACCTTTGTTTGGGGAAACCTTACAACTTGGAGAAGTAAGAAACAATTTGTCGTTTCAAGTAGTGCTGAAGCTGAATTTAGAGCACTAGCATTGGGAATATGCGAAGGAATTTGGCTACTTAAACTATTAAAAGAACTTGTCACTAATCAAGAGGATCACTTTGAAGTTTTGTGTGATAATCAATCTGCTATTCAAATTGCCAAGAACCCAGTTCAACATGATCGGACAAAGCATGTTGAGATTGATAGGCATTTTATTGCTGATCAAGTTAACAAAAAAGACAGCCACACTTTCATACATTCCTCCAGAAGAACAAGTTGCAGACATTCTTACTAAGGCTTTGCCAAAGCCTGTTTTCAATAAATTCCTATTCAAGCTGGGATTATACAATGTATATTCTCCAGCTTGAGGGGGAGTTTAGGAATTATAGAGATGATTTGTTATCATTCCTATAGATATATGATTTGTTACCATTCCTATAGAGATATGATTTTGTAAATAGATTTCTACAATCCCTTATTTTAAGGGATCATATCCTAGGATTATTATTTTTCCTTTCTTAGAGTTTCCTACTTTAGAGAGATATTTTGTATATAAATATGTAATCTGTCATATTGAAAAGAATAAGAAATTACAGAGAATTACTCTAATTTCTACAATATATGGTCAATTAGACAACCTATAACTTTGGGTTCTATTAGACATCCATTTTTACAGATAAACTTTACAAGATGATATAGTTAAGTCTTAAATTTCTGTTAATTAAGTAGAATTGCACGTACAAGACCTCGCGGCAGCTTCTAGTTCAAGAAAGGATGCTACTGTGACACTTCTGGACAAGTCAATGTCAGATAACAGTTTTGTCATCCACTCCTCCAGTGAACACCTTCTCTGCAAAAAAACTAAGCAGCTTTATTTAGTTGTCTAGATAAATGAATAACAACTAAGAATGATCTTTCAGTTTTGAAATCCACTTTTTTTGTTTCCAACAGATATTTGTCAAGTAAAATCTCCGATCAATGCTAAGTTTGTTTGTCAGTAGGAAACTATAAATATCATACAGATTCAAAACTTGAGTTTTGAGTTTTCGACTAATCCAATGCTGAGTAAGTGCCCAAAGATACAAAGTTTTAATATCAAGGGATGAACTTGTTATTAGCAACTACAAGAGAAAACAAAGCTAGTAGAGATCATTAAAGAAGAAAAATGAGAACTAAAACAGACTCTGGTATTTCCCGATGATAAGGAGAAGGAAGGCGCTAAAGTAGTTCTATCAAAACCATAAAAGAAAGAGGAAAACAAACAAATTGGAAAAACTTATTGCCTACCTCTTCCAACAGAGCTCTGCTTTTCAAACGCAACAGACCCTTGGGTGGAGCAGGGGGGAGGCTTTTCTTGGGATATGCCTTTTTCAGCTGTAGAGGGAAGTCGATGACAATATAAGAGTCCCCTAAATCAGTTGTATTTGAATATTGTAATCAGGGTGCATGCCATTTTCTTCTACAGTAATGCTCAAGCAATATGTCATACCGACAGTTTTCTAACATACTCTCTGAATTGTGAACTTTTTTGTGCAACATAAAGGAAATAGCAGGACTTACTTCATTAAATAGCTTCAAAAAATCATTAAATCTTCTCAATACTCCACGTGTAGTTGTAACACCATCTTGTGATTGTATACCTACATTTACCCTGTAAAACTGGCACCAAAGAATGTTAACTGAGAACCACAGCAAATAAATTAGTCACCAAAAACATTTACGATTGATGATTATGACAGAATTGCAATGTGTCAGTTAAAATATTGAAAGGAATACCAAAGAGTATTAGATTTACATCATATAAACCCATTTAGATGTTGAAAGGTTTTCCAAACTGTAATATATAATCATAACTTAGGTGTTATAAGTTAAGGATGATGAAACTTGTATTTTGAAAGATAAAATATCACTACCTAATATCAAGACAAGAGTGATATAGCCTCTACCACAGACATATATACTGGTACTTACCACAACAGGATCTGAAACTCTTGATTTCGGAAAGACAACCCAAGAAGGTATTGTGACACAGTAACTCCATCCAGTTCGAGGATCATGAGGCCAAACAGTTTCCCTTCCATTCTGCGTGTATATGTAAATTGAATAAGTGCTAAAACCAAAATTCAATCGTAAGTCTCCAGACAGCCAAACAAATTGTACTAAAACAATCAGAACATGAACAAGGACAACAAAATTCATTCTTTTCTATGTTAAAAGAAAATACGGTACCCAAAACGAAAATCCATGTCAAGATTAAATTATAACTCAGCCCTTACTTTAAGATGTCTAGAATCTTGATAGAGTTCTACTATCACCGGCCTTAATTAAAATTACTACTAAATTTCAGCTGCAATTGTTTAGAAACCTTGGGAACTCTGTAAATTCTTAAAACCAGCTCATGAGGTCATATATGGACATGGGAAACAAATCTAAAATTCTAAATTGACTAGATAAGTACATTTAAAAACTGATAATGCAATGACTAAAAAATAAACTGATAATGTAAAAGCAATAAATGCACTGTCTTTTCAATAAAGATAAAGACGACTACATAAGTTACTGAATCAATGAAGTCCAATCTCGTCATTGCAAAATCAATAGTCTGTTTCTCTTTTGGTCTGGATCCACCACAAAACTAACTCTAAATATTAATTATTGTTCAAATTTCTAGAATTTTATGAACTAACCTCTTCTATCGCCAGAAAAGCTGAGCGCTAATTCGAATTCCAAGTTAATTTCAAACGAAATCAAATTAAAAAAGAGACGAAATTGAGGAAAAGCCTACCCATTTACGAGGGGGCGGACTCCAATCCAGCCCGAGAGGCAATGGCGAAGTCCCGTCGTGCCTATGCTTCGGTGGACTCCGTCTCTGCATCATCTGTTTCTTCTTCTTTTTTCCCTCAATCTACAAAACGATTACGATCTGTCTTGGAATAAAATTGAACATTCAAATTAACAAGGCGAAGAGCTTTAGGGTTTATGTGATCGGATCAGGGGGACAATTGGAGCAATAGCGTCAACATGTGTTAGACGTGGGAATTTCAATTTTAGAATTTAGTAAAGATTTCGTGCGTTTATGTTAGAAGGCGGGGAAGTGGGCTTAGGAGGGCGATGGAGAATGACCCGCGGGATTAATTACCTTGTCCTTATCTTCATGTATCGATATTTTAAATTGATTATTGCTTCACATTTTTTGACGTCATCCCACTTTATTATCACTTTATTATCACTTTATTATCATTTAATATTTATAAAAGTTTGTGCCAAAAAAATATTTATAAAAGTTTAACCTTCGAACAAATATTTTAAAAATTATATATTTTAATTAACTGAAAATAATTTTAGTATATATAATATAATATATAATTACATATGAATTATCACTAAATTATATTTAAGTGACTTTTTTACAACTGATGTTTCAAAAATTATAAAACAGTCATTAAAATTTTAAAACAGTTATAAAATGACAATGGCATGTTATAAAATAGTGATAAATATTTTATAAATTTAAGGATTATTTTATAACAATTTGATATGTTTAATAATCATTTTATGATTGATAATATTTAATAATTATTTTGTAAATATTTGAGAGATTTAATAATTATTTATGTTGATATACAACGAGTAAGATGATTGTTTACGTTGATATAGATGGTAAGAAATAATGCGGTTAAGTAAATGATTTGCGATTTACCTCTCATAATCTGGACAAAAAATTATTAGTCTACTATCTTTTAAAAGTATGTAGTAGCTTGGTAGGACCAACGAAATGGTTTCGGGGTAAGTAGTTTAATATTATTTAAATATGTCTCGGATTTAAATTTTTATGTATACATAAAATCTCTTTTGAAAGACTCACCCACTAAAATTATGTGTACGACTTAGATCAGTTCAGATTAATCAAAGCAAATCTTTGACAACCGGGAGAGCGACAAAAAAATATATATGTAATAGGATTTCTTTATATGTGAAAATCTTGGAATAATATATTTCTTCATTAATGCTTTGAAAATTATAAAATATTTAATAAATAAATAATATATATAAAGTTTATTTCAACTCTCGTTAATTATTTTGCAATGGTCATTATATGGGATAAGTATAGGTGTGCGTCACACATTAAAATACATCATTAATGGGGCACAGTGATACACATCACTAACTAAATTGTCTTTATTAAATAAATATTAAAAAATATAATGATCTATCAATAATTATTTTTATTATTATTATTTAATTTAAAGTTTAATAAGAATATAATTAATTTTTATTAAAAAAATATTATTATTTTAAGATTTTTATTTGTTTAAGATTGGAACACTTAATTTATATAAGTTTACATATTCATCCCTATAACAATCATCAAACTAACCATTGGCGATCATATTCATCGCCGAAAAATCGTGTTACTTATATGTGGTTATGTAATATCATCCCGACTAGGCTCTTCTCAATATCATGTAAATTATTTCATAGATGCATATTAGTTTATTCAGTTGCTTAAGGAATTATTTATAATTTTTGATTTATATGTAATTGGAGCTATTGTTTTGATAAATGCTACATGATTTTATATTTATCGTGTACAAAGACACAATCTTTAGCTATTATCATCATAACTAGTTTTGAAAGTGATTTTGTGCATTCACCACCAATGATGGTAGAACCTGACGAATTAAACAATTTGAAATCATTGTTTACATATGAAGAATTAAACGAGGCTACAAATATTTTTTAGACCGTAATCTTTTGGGTGAAGGTGATATTAGGGTTGTTTACAAAGGTTGCTTTCAAGATGGAAGAGGGGTGGTTGTAAAACAACTTTAAATCGATGGGGATTGGGTGAATGAGAATTTAAAGTTGAGGTTGAAGAACATGATCTTCCAGCGATGAATCAGATCGTCGACGGTTGATTATGATGATTGTTGTTTGGGATGAATATGCAAATTTATATAAATTAAGTGTTCCAAATCCAATCATGAACAAATAAAATTCTCGAAATAATTATAATTTTGATAAATAAACATAATCTAATTATATTCATATTAGAATTTAAACTAAATTGTATCATCCCAACCAACGGGTTAGTGACCAAATTGTAAAATTTTAAACTTTCGTGATCAAATTAGATAATTTAAAAAGTTCAGGGACTTAATTAAAATATCTTTATGTAGGATTGAATAGCAAAGAAAGTAAGTTGAAAGGGCATATTGGTCATTAGACAATAAAATAATTAAAAATCATTATGATTGTTTATATAACCACGTGGAAAGATGATAAAATAATCAGAGAATTCTAGACTTTCTTTATCCTTTTTTCTTCTTCCCCGTGAGCTCCATAGCTAAGGAGAGAAATTTTCTATTTGGTTAATTCTTGCACTTTAGTCATGGTTTTGATGCTTGAGGTGTTAGGAAAGCTTAAGAGAAGCTTAAAGTGATTTAAAACTCAAAGATTGATAAGTTATGAGAGATTGAATATAAGAGGTTTTTAAGTGAATTGTTGAGAAAGAGTTAGTAAGTGAAGTTTGAGGTTAAATTTGACTTGTCGTCAGTTAGAATAAGAGATTTATGAAGTTACAAAGGTTTTACAGCAAAGTTGAGAAATTGGTATGATTTTTTATTCCAAGTAGGTTATTGAGAATTTGGATATTTAGGAGTACTAAAGTGAAATAAATTGGTTTGGGAGTATATAGTTGAGTTTGAAGGTTTTAAAGAAGAGTTAAATGAGAAGTCAAATTAATATCTGAAAAAAAGAAAGAGAAAAAGGACTATGGTAAGATTCAAACCTAAGCCAAATATAAAACTTTAACAACACAAAATCACTCAAATAAATTTTATGTTTTATTTATATTTAGATAGATTTTGTATATTTTTAAACATTAATTTATACAAAATTAAAATTAAATTTAAGTTTTACACGTGATTAAAATCGATTCCTAATTATGCAATTTAATAAAAATTAATTAAAATATAAATTAATCACATATTTTATTTTTTAATAAAAAAATAAAATTATTAATTAAATTAAAACGAGTATCAATTTTTAGACTATATCTATAATCATTAAATTATAAATGTTAAACATTATTTTATACAAAATTAAAAGAAAAACTAAATTTAAGATTTACACATGATTAAATTCGACTTCTAATGACACATTTTAACTATGTAATCTAATCAAAATATAAATGATTCATATATTTTATTTTTTAATAAAAAGTAAAATTATTAATTAAATTAAAAAGTATTAATTTTTAGACTATATATGTACCTGTACAAAACTTAAATTTAATTTTTCTTTTAAATCTTTTATAAATTAATGTTTTAAAAAATATATATTCTATCCAAAAATTAACCAAATATAAATTTGCTTGAGTAATTTTATATTTGGCCTAGATTCGAATTTTGCCATAACCATTTTTCTTTCCTTATTTTCTGGTATTAATTAAAGTATAAAATATATATACCACTGTGTGCTTCCCAACCCAAACAGACAATGACCCAGGTTCGAGCCCTCTGAATCGCATTAAATTACCTTTTTTCTGCAATATATAAACTATGTTGAAATAATTTGCCTGTTGTGGGGCTTTCCTTGATGGTAAAGGCACGCGTATCCCATCTTCTTGGCGTATGGTCCATTCCCAGCAGCTACGCTTCTTTATTTTTTTTAAGCCATCTTAACACCAGTCAAAGGGTGACACGTGTCACCCTTTTTATTAGAGTTAAAATATATTAAATTAAAATTAAAATATGACCTAATTAAGCGGTGACAAGTGTCACCATCTGATTGGGGATTAAATTTATTGAATTAAATTAGGATTAAATTGATAAAATGTATAAATATTGATGATCTGATGTGTAATAATATCATTTTTATTAACAGCCACGTCAACAGTTTCATTAACTATTAACCGTAAGTATCTCGATTAAATGTATTTAAATATTTGATTGACCCGATTTATAAAAACTAAAAAATGATTGTCAAAGTAAAAAGAGAAAATAATTGGATAGTCGTTAGTATATTTTATCCAAAATATTATACTAAAGGGATCAGAATCAAAGTCAAGCCATCATTTCACCATGTGCCTAGAAAGCCGAGACAGTCTCGATTGAAGCTTGGGATCATCACGGAAGAATATAAGCAAAGTTCATAGGTTGAAACCTCTGTAATCGAGCAATGGGAATCTCCAAGCTGTATGGACAATAGCAAACTCACATCATTTCCTTCTTTATACTAAAAGAAAAACAAAACAAAGAGAATACACCAAAGGGCCCACTCCCATGTTCTTATCTTAATTATCTCCTTTTTTTTATTTTAATTTTGGTTATCCCAGCCGTTTAATCTAGAAAGTCAAAGATTAGTTTTCATTATCCCGATCCAGCTCACTCAAAATCAATTAATTTTATATAAATCTTAAGGAATAATAGAAGGAAGTTCTGTCAGGGGAGCAAAGCTACTGTTTTCAGATAGATCTATCGAAGCGATCTATTGAGAGAGAGGGAGAGGTTTTCGAGCTTAGATGGCGATACTGTACGCGCTCGTTGCGCGTGGATCGGTGGTGCTGGCGGAGTTCACGGCGGCGTCGACGAACGCGAGCTCGATTGCCAAGCAGATTCTGGAGAAAATACCAGGAGACAACGACACTCATGTTTCGTATTCGCAGGACCGGTTCATCTTCCACGTCAAACGCACAGATGGACTCACCGTTCTGTGTATGGCCGATGAAAGTGCTGGAAGTAAGCCAAATTAGCTGTTTCGTTATTTAGTTTAGATGGTAATTTTTGTAAAACACATGTTTTCTTTTCCTTCTTCTTTCTGCAATTTAACTTAATATTTAATTGACACGATAGGATTACAATTCAATTTCAATTGCTCCTTTAAGTATTCTTGAATTCTTTTCAATCTAAAGAGAAATTAGAGATAAAAGTAGTTGGATGAGAAGAAAGTTTGTAAGTTTTATGATTGGTTGACTATCTAGAGTTTGATCATGAGTTCAAAATGGTATAAGGGGT